AGAGGAAGAGGATGAGAGGAAGAGAAGAGGGTGAGAGAAAGAGAAGAGGGTGAGAGAAAGAGGAAGAGAGAGAAGAAGATGAGAGAGAGAAAGAGGAAGAGAGAGAAGAGGATGAAAGAGAGCAGGAGAGAAGAAGAGGATGAGAGAGAGAAAGAGGAAGAGAGAGAAGAGGATGAAAGAGAGGAAGAGAGAGGAAGAGGATGAAAGAGAGAAAGAGAAGAAGAGGATGAAAGAGAGAGGAAGAGGATGAGAGAGAGGATGAGAAGAGGGTGAGAGAAAGAGAAGAGGGTGAGAGAAAGAGGAAGAGAGAGAAGAGGATGAAAGAGAGGAAGAGAGAGAGGAAGAGAATGAAAGAGGAAGAGGATGAGAGGACGAGAGAGAAGAGGATGAAAGAGGAAGAGAGAGAGGAAGAGGATGAAAGAGAGAGGAAGAGGATGAGAGAGAGGATGAGAAGAGGGTGAGAGAAAGAGGAAGAGAGAGAAGAGGATGAAAGAGAGGAAGAGAGAGAGGAAGAGGATGAAAGAGGAAGAGGATGAGAGGACGAGAGAGAAGAGGATGAAAGAGGAAGAGAGAGAGGAAGAGGATGAAAGAGAGAGGAAGAGGATGAGAGAGAGGATGAGAAGAGGGTGAGAGAAAGAGAGCGAAGAGAGAGAGGGGAAAGAGAAGAGGGTAAGAGAAAAGAGGGCGAAAAGAGAGAGAAAGAGAGAAGAAGAGGATGAGAGAGAGGAAGAGGATGAGAGGAAGAGAAGAGGGTGAGAGAAAGAGGAAGAGAGAGAAGAGGATGAAAGAGAGGAAGAGGATGAAAGAGAAAGAGGAAGAGGATGAGAGGAAGAGAGAGAAGAGGATGAAAGAGGAAGAGAGAGAGGAAGAGGATGAGAGGAAGAGAAGAGGGTGAGAGAAAGAGAGAGAAGAGGATGAAAGAGAAGAAGAGGATGAGAGAGGAAGAGAGAGAAGAGGATGAAAGAGGAAGAGAGAGAGGAAGAGGATGAAAGAGAGAAAGAGAGAGAGGAAGAGGATGAAAGAGAAAGAGGATGAGAGGAAGATAGAGGAAGAGGGTGAGAGAAAGAGAGAGAAGAGGATGAAAGAGAGGGAAGAGAGAGAGGAAGAGGATGAAAGAGAGAAAGAGGGCAAAGAGAGAGAGGAAGAGAAGAAGAGGGTGAGAAAGAGAAATAGACGACACAAAGTCATGAATGAAATCCTGACACAGAGCAGGAAACTGTAACGTTGTTTTGACTTAACAAGATGAATATTTAGTCCGACTATCGCTGAATCGATCCGGTTTTAGATGAAGAGTAAAAACTAAACAAAACATGATCAGACCTTCATGAGCTCCTGCAGTTTGGGATCGTTCTTAGAGTTCGGATCCACCATGGTCCGCACCTCATTCTCCTCTGGTGGGTGAAGAACAGTGGAAACAGGATCTCACAAACTAATATAGCTTTAAAGTGAATATGTGGCAGCATCTCAGCTCGTCATAGGGCAAAGGTCAAGTCTCGATTTGCTTTTAAAACCAAAAACGTTTAACAAACAATTAAAGTAAACAAAATTAAAAAAGAAGAATCAAAAACAAACCAAATTAAATGTACTGTAATTGCTTTTAGGAGTTTCCTTTAGCAGGCTAAACAAAAATCAACAAACACTTATTAAAGGCAGTAAAAAGATCCCATCATGTGGTGCGTGACATCATGGGATTAAAATAAAACAGGAAGTGCGGTCGGTTACCGAGCATGGTGTCCTCGGGGTCCAGCTCATAGTGTGAAGGACTGAGAGGGAGGTTGATGGCATTTATCCCCTCCTCCTGCAGCTCAGACACTAAAACAAAAAAGATCTTTTAAATCAGAGTAAATAATAAACAAGCTTAGGAAACTGGACTCTGTTTCTGGAAGGAGTTTGTTAAATTCACTAAAGAACAGATTTACAGATGAACTCAACGTGAATCCTGGGTTTACTTCTTTCATTTGACGACCTGAATGACTGATTTATTGACGCTGGTGCGCTGTTGTCAACAACGGGGAGTCCTTGGAGTAACTGTTGCCTGTTTTAACAAACATTTCAGTGTTCTTGTCAGATCCAGATGAACTGAAAAACAGATTATTCCTGAGAAAAAAACAATAAACAGTTTTTATTTGTTTGTTCAGTCCAAGCATCACAAGTGACGCTAGAGGAAGTTGTTTATGTGTCAACGGCTGAGGCCAAATGAACCAGAACAGCAGATCAGACGATACAAAAATAAAAATTATAATCACGTTGTTTGGACGACTCCCTAAACGCTTCCTTGATCCCACAAACAACCACCAGCGGCTCTCCGCTGGATGTCAGACGAACAGAGCGGGGCCGCTTCCTGCTTCTCAGCGGGCTTCACAGATTCCCAGCCATGCCTCGCTTCTCAGAGTGTCAGAAACCCGAGGTGGTTAGATCGCAGTTGATCTTTTCCTGCTCTCTCTGTGTGTGTGTGTGTGTGTGTGTGTGTGCGCATGTGTGTGTGCGCATGTGTGTGTCATGAGTGAACATCCTGTGCATTTCTCTGCCCTCTCTGGAACAACATCCTCAACACCATCCACAAGTGGTTGCATGAGCACAGTCTGCATCTCACACACACACACACACACACACACACACACACACACACACACACACACACACACACACACACACACACACACACACACACACACACACACACACACACACACACACACACACACACACACACACACACACACACACACACTTCTGAGTATTCCTACAGAGTGCTATGCACCCCGCCCACCTGTAAATTACCCCCCACCTACCTAACCTCCGGCAGCTATGCTACGTTTTTCACCTGCACTAAAGAACCTGACATGTTTGCTGGCCAGAAGAAAACATAAATAATCAGGAATAATAAGACAAGAAATTAAAATCCTTAATTCCAGTTCCCTCAAATGTTTTTTTTTTTTTTTACCAATTTGAAAACTAATTATTAGGGGTGCCTGATATTAGCTTTTCTCCTGATATCCGTTCATTTTCTTTTGCCTATCCGGGTCCGGGTCGCATCTCAAGTAGGGCATCCCAGACCCTCTCCCCGGCCACCTCTACCAGCAGGACCCCAAGGCGTTCCTGGGCCAGATTGGAGACGTATTTGCTCCAACGTGTCTTGGATCGACCCGGGGGCCTCCTGCCGGCAGGACATGCCCGAAACACCACCTCAGGAAGGCGTCCAGGTGGCATCCCGACTAGATACCTGAACCAACTCTGCTGGCTCCTCTCAATGTGGAGGAGCTGTGGCTCTACGGCTGAGCCCAGCCACCTTCTGAAGGAAACTCATTTTGGTTGCTTGTATCCGCGATCTCTTTCTTCTTGAATTCACTGAAAGTTAGGTCGTATATGGGCAATTTAAAAAGGCCTTTATTTTGGAAGGCAACATCAGAATGACTTGATATTGATACGGTATCACTGTGGGGTTGTATACTGTTGATCTGAAGTGGAATTACCCTGTGGAAACAGCAATTTTCCATTTTAGAGCATTTTGAAATCACTGAAAGTTAGGTCAATTATGGACAATTTGAAAGGGCTTTTATTTTGGAAGGCAACATCAGACTGAGTTGAAAATTCACAGGGCTTTTACTTTGAAATCCAAAATAAGATGGCCTTGATATTGACAGGCCGCTAATAGTGAACAAGCCGAAATTATAAGTTATTATGTTCTTAAAATATCTGCCAATTCACACGAAGCTTCCTTTTCTTTTGAAATCCGGTTTCCACATCCCTTCCCGTAATACTTTGAGTAGACGGGAACCGACAATAAACTGGAGGCTGGCTTGACACAAGTCATTCCTTCAACTAGTTCATGCCCAGTTCAGTTATCAGAGGAAGTAGCGCATCTAGCGGGGGCTCATAGAGAGCGGTATGCTAACTAGCTTACCAACGTTAGCTTACGTTCTCTCTGCAGCTGTTCACCGATGTAAACATGTCGCTGACTTTGCCTAAATTCACCCCTCTGGATTTATAACTATGTTATAAACAGCGTTTCACTTTACACCAAAGCTGATTGTTAAAAAGTCCGGATCCCTACCAGCTTCTGTTGCTGGTGGTGTTACCGGGTTCAGCTGCTGCTCTCACACCGGAATGAGAAGATCTCTGAACGCCGACGCTCGTATAAATAAATAAATAACGTCATTTTAACACACGTAATCCTACATCGGAGCTTTAATATTGTTAATAATTGTCTCGCTTTACACTACAGTGGACGGCGCGCAGCCTCCGTGGTGAAATACCCATCCATCAGGATTATCACTAACTAGTATAGTTCATCTTCGTCCTCAGTCTCCATCAAAGTTATTAAGAAGAAAAAACGAGTTGAGTTTACGTCCTTGTCTGTTAGTGCAGCCGACCACGCAGCAAGCTAAAACCATTTTACTGTCAAATCAACTAAATAAAAGCGATAAACGGCTACAAACTGGCTTGTTTTGACTAGCTTCACTGGAGTTTCTACGGGTGTAAACGGCCTTTTTGCCGTCCATCATGGTGAAGGGGGCGGTCACATGAGTGGCGAGACGTCACGTGCAAAGGGTCAATCCAGAATCTTAAAAAAACACAAGAAGAGAAGCTAAACCACGGCAGTGGTAAAAAAGGCCCAGCAGCATCTCCACTTTCTGAGAGTGCTCAGGAGGAACAACCTGGAGGAGAGGCTGCTGGCGACTTTCTACAGAGCCACCATAGAAAGCATCATAACAGCATGGTATGCAGGGTGCTCAGCTGCAGACAGGAAAGTACTGCAGAGGGTCGTCAACACAGCCCAGAAGATCACTGGCTGCTCTCTGTCCAGCCCGGAGGTCATTGCAAACTCTCGGTACCTCAGCAGAGCGAGTAATATCAAGAATCAGTCTCACCCCAGCAATCAAGTCTTTCAACTATTACCATCAGGTCGATGGTACAGGTCACATAAAACCAGGTCAAACAGATCCAGGGATAGCTTCTTTCCCAGGGCGATCTCTATAGTAAATAAGCATAAAACAATTAAAACTGCTTAGCGACTGTCAAGGTCACCGTCAACTACTATGCTGCTATTCTGTATATATTGTACTTACTATTGTTTTGTTTTAGGGGACCTTTTATATTTAGAAGTATTTTTGTATTGTGCACCAAGGGAGTGGCACTCCAATTTCGTTGTATCCTGTACAATGACAATAAAGGCTATTATTATTATTACTATTATTATTATTATTATTATTAAACCCGTCTCATCCTTATCCCGTCGTCCTTAAAAATTACACAAACTGAAAAAGCTACTGACAGGAAGCTTTTGGCATTTTTAACCTCCATCAGATAGAACAGCCAACATCTGAGGCTTTAGACTCTCATCCATAACCGTTTTAAAATTGCAGCCCCCTGAATGGTAGTTGGATTATCACGTAAACGTGTCCAACTTCCCAATTCTTTGCGATTTTAGCAGAAAATTTGCTTTTTTGTGGTTTTGTGACTCCTACTAGCCACGAACCAGCGGCTTTAGGCCAGCGGATGCAGGAATCATCCTGAAATTCAGAGTCTGGCACTCTGGGATATTTTCAATGACTTTTCTCACATGGAAAATAAAATAAAATGTGTCTTTAATGAACCAGGAGCCGACATCTTTTTGGGGCAGACATGAACAGATTTCCTATAAACAAAAACTTCTAAGTGGTTTCAAATCCACCGACTCGGGCGGCGTAACGGTTGCTGAATAATAACGCTGCACCAGTTTGCGCCGTCTTGCACACCAGCTGTGTTATTACACCGGTCTGCACTGCAGAATTCCTTTCTCGCCTTTTTGTTAAACAGACTTAATTTAAGAAAAGACTGAAACGGATTAAAAGAGAAACTGAGTGCCATCCCAGCGCGTTGCTCCTCCCACCCTTCGGTCCATTGGATAAACGAGGATCCGTTCATTTTGTGAAAAGAAGGAAACAAAAGCTTAATGTGCAAGCTGGAGAGACTCCACACGGAGGATGTTGTCCTACCTGGAGGGCAGAACGCTCCACAGCCCATGTCTCTCTGTCTCCGTCCCCCAGTCTCAAGCATCCTCTCCTGGCTAGCAGAACCAGTTCAAACCTCTCTCAAACCTCTAATTCAACGTATTATCCATCAACTAAATTTGCAGAGTATTCACGAGGCTACAGAATTACGCATTACCCATCCAGATTTATAGGCTCTCTTCTGTTTTACGAAGCCCACAGTTGCATCAACGCACGCTCCGAAAAGCCTCCTGACCTTCTCCTTTTTCATAACGCTTCATCCTCATCTTGTAGCTTCGCTCCCGTTTCTCATCCTTCACTCTTTTCCTTTTTTCCTTTTCATCCGGTCATTACTGCCGCTGCAGCCGGCGGCCCCCCCCCTCCCCGGCACACGCAGCTACTGCCATAAACGTTGCAAGGACTTAAATTTATTCAGTCATCAGTACAAGAGCAACCAGCCCACACTTTCCATCAAATCACTGGAACACTTTGCAGACGTCCTACACACAGCTTGGTGTGTGCGTGGGGAATGCGAACCAGCTGGAGCATAATGTGATTGCATGCATCTCCAAAATGGGAACATGAATTTGGGGCTCAGCTGTGTAACAGGATCCTCCTGACTGACGCAAAGTAATCATCCTTTCCCATTCAGCGATAAATCCCGGCCTTCGGCGGTGAATGTCACCTGGACTTTCACAGAATCCCACACGGAAATAACTCAACCGAGCTCTTTAAAAGGCCGTTCGGGATATTCTTATTTATACTTCGTGTTGTTGGTAGTTAAAGTCCACCAACAGGTAAGTTTATTAGCTTTTAAGAGTGGATGGAAGGGAGCAACAGGAAATCCGTGCGTATCCGCCCACCTTCACCTCTGAAAACTGATGATTAAAATCAAGCGGGTGTTTGGATTTGATTTATTTATCTAAAGTATTGCATACAAAATAAAACCAATTACAGTTTGAGAAGGAGCAGGACGCACACACACACACACACACACACACACACCTAATGAATGGCAACGCAGAAAACGAGGCTTTGTGAATCTTGAAATTGTTTTTTTCCCGAATTTCTGTTTGATGTGTCAAACAACAAAAAGACTGCATCACCATTGGTTTGAAACACACGTGAGAATAAGGGTCGGTACTTCTGACCAATCGGATAATAGATGGGGTTTGCCGCAGCCGAGAGGGTAATGTTTCAGCTGTTGGATCGAGTAGGATGTCGGTCAAAGGTTTGAAGCTTTTATGGGCGTGCTAAAAGAGGTTCTGATGAGAGAGTCACACCTGGAGGATATTTTTTATGTTTTTAACGACGCATTTTGTTGGACTGTGGACAAAAGACTTGCTGTGGACTAGAGGCCGACCGATTAGGGTATTTTTAAGGCCAATGCCGATACCGATTTTTAAAGAATTTTGTTGCCGATGGCAGATATCTAAAGGCAAATGTTAGGCCGATATCTATGCGTTTTAGCAGCACATTGATTGTGAAAGACAACCGAACACTCACTGTGTGCAATATAAATTAAATAAGTCAATAAATCTCTTAATATTTATTGAACTTCAAATATAAAACAAATTCAAAACATAAAAAAAGCGGTGTGTTGAGGTCCTTTGGGTCTTTTCTTCAGTCTAGTAGTGGTGGCAGTTGGCCACACAGGTTCCTCATCATAATTATTTTTTTATTTATTGGCTTTTAAAAATAATTTCGGCCGATATAGGAAAAATGTTATATAACGGCTGTCCGATATATGTTTGCCTCTACTGTGGACTAACTTTTTTATTGGAATTCTTTTACTGGACCCTTGTGGCGTAAAAAGACCATTTTTGTTTGAGATTTCTTTTCAAACGGTGACGGAGACCGTCATGAATGATGGTTTTGACTAAGGCGCATACTGTAATGGTTGTATCTTTGATTGGCATATATTATTGGAACTCTGTCTGAATCAACATGAAGTGTGTTCCCCTGAATAGTCAAAGAACCTAAATCAAATATTCAAAGACAAATCAGATTGATAATTAATATTTTATTTGATAATTGATTCACTAAGATAAATACAAAAAAGTTTATCTCTCACTAAATAGAATATTTAATGTGACCATAGAAACACTACTTGGTATAATATATGGTGTGTGTGTGCGTGTGTATTCTCCATCCCCAGTGAGTCGTGGTGGATGGCTGCTTATACTGAGCCAGGATCCTCTGGAGGTTTCTTCCTGTTAAAAGGGAGTTTTCCTCTTCACTGTCGCTATATGCTTGCTTAGTATGAGGATTGCTGTAAAGTCACTGACACTAGTCAGTGACTTTACAGGGGCAGTAGTAGCTCAACAGGTTGAGCGGGTTGTCCTGTAATCGGAAGGTTGCAGGCTAGGGCTGCAACAACGAATCGATAAATTCGATGAAAATCGATTACTAAAAGCGTTGGCAACGAATTGCGTCATCGATTCGTTGTGTTGCACAACTCTTCCAAAAGCGCCCCCCCTTCCCGCCCGCCATTGCGCGCAGACCAGAGCAAGTCAGATCAGCGCGAGGGAGAGCCGCAGATCAGCGCGAGGGAGAGCCGCAGATCAGCGCGAGGGAGAGCCGCAGATCAGCGCGAGGGAGAGCCGGCAGATCAGCGCGAGGGAGAGCCGCAGATCAGCGCGAGGGAGAGCCGCAGATCAGCGCGAGGGAGAGCCGCAGATCAGCGTGAGGGAGAGCCGGTACAGGCAGATCAGCGCGAGGGAGAGCCGGCAGACTTGAGCTGCTGCGAACCGGTTCCGCATTGTTAAACAGCGATCCAGGCAGCTGCTTCCAGCGCACGGTCCATTCTCAAAGTGGCGCAACCAAAAAACTATAATTAGCACACGATCGTTCATGTCCGCACATGTTCTCTATTTTCTGTCTTATTTGTGCCTGAAGCGCGCTACTGCGGAGCTCATCACCTGTGCTGTGGTGATGTCACCTCACGCAGCATCGAAAACGCGCTCTGCGCTTTTCGGTCAGGAGATCCCTTTGATCTGCTCAAAAGTAACTGATGAGGTGAAAAGGTAAGAATCCAGGCAACAGATTTTCTGGAGAATTAAGAGGAGATGCAGGGAGATGAGAGACAGACAGGACAGGAAAATAGTTCAATAAAAACAAGAAAACAAAACAAAGTGTTGAAAAGTAAAATGTAGGTAGATTTATCTCCACTACACGTTTTTACCAGTAAAAAACAATAAGTTATACACATGTCATATTTATACATCTGATACAATTCAGATCACCTTCAAAACTCAGTCACACACCCAGGGCCGTTTCAAGACATTTTGGGGGCCAAGGCAAAATGCCCCCCCCCCCCCCCCCCCAATAACTGGGCTCCCCAGAAGCCTCTGTGTAATTCATGCCCTCTCCAGTAGTGTTAGTTATACGGTGTTTATAAAAGCCCCTCAGACATTACTGACATGCTCTAATATTATCAGATGAAAAACTAAATTATCAGACATGCTGTCTCATCTGCTTCTTTTATAAACTTGCAAAAAGTAACAAAACCATTTGAAAGCCACTATTTGTGGATTCTCTGAAAGTTTCCATGGAGTTTGTGACAACTTATTTTTTCATTGATCCTATCGTCTAATCTCACAGTTGAAACAAGCATCCTTAATAATCTGTGCACAGGAAGCTTACCGATGCTGTAGTAAAACAAAAGGTAGAATAATTTATTATTAATAAAACCTTGTTGCAGCACTAAAGCAGAAAAATGAGATTTTGCATTAAATATGCAAAATATTTACATATGAATTGTTTTAGAGCCCTTTAATTGGCAGAATCTGATATTAATTTAGTTCTTACAAAAAATGGGTCCCAACATGGTTTGTGTGGCGTTGCCATAGTGTGACGTCATAGGCACAGATCCCCTGTCCTCTTGTTTGGAAATGGAAATATGGTCACCCTACATTAAACAAACTGTCCACCCGGGCTTTTGCACTGCACAGAGACGCTTCGCTGCCTACGACTGAACGTCAGTTGAGAGTCAGTCTCATGCAGACTGACCAATGAAGAGAGGGCCTCAAGTTAAAACCCTCTCCTCATTGGTCAGTCCACACGAGGTGGGTCAAAGGTTACTCTGGGCGGGTTACGTGTTGTCAGGCATTCAAGTATTGAGTATATTTACTGCATATTACAGTAAAATATTCTGTATGTGACCACATTATGGTGATCCTTGGGTCGTGATGATGGAGCCCTTGAATATTGTTGCCCAGGGTACAACAAAGTGTTAATCTGGCCCTGGTTCCGCCGTCACATTCCCGCAGAAACTGGTTGATCACACCGGGGCCAGACTACTAACATGTGGTTTTACAACCACAATGTCCTCAGAAGCAAAAACGCTTTTAAAAGGGAGGGAGGAGTCCTAACTGTTGCTGCAGGCGTGTTGTGTGAGAGTGCAGTTATATACTGGTTAATATATTTTTGGGTTCAGTTGCTTTCATGTGGCCTAATGTGAGTCTATTTGGGATCATTGGAATGATCAGCAGCATTTCTTGATGTGACTTTATGGCAGTTGCCCAGGGCATCATCGCAAGGAGGATGGCATTCATTTACTTTTGTTTTATTTGGTATTTTTTCAGTCATTTTTGGAAATAGTGATCAATTTTGATAAATTCACAGCCTATGTTTAATTACATTTAAAATAAATGTCAACAGATGAGATCAAACAAAACAGATGAGAATTGCCCTTAAGCTGTTTAACTTGGACCAAGCATTTTAGGTCACAGATAGATGTAGCTTAGGGTCTCTGTCTATACACCTTATAAGACAATTTAGGTGATGGCATGTTGTTTTTCTGCTATTGAACTGTTTTCTAATAATGTTGTGTTAAATAAAGTGAAGGAAGGAGAGAAATAACGTTTCCCTAGCAGTTTTTAAAAATTTCCCCATGTAATCCGATTAATCGATTAATCGTGTCGAGACCCCATCCGATTAATCGATTATCCAAATAATCGTTTGTTGCAGCCCTATTGCAGGCTCAATCCCGGCTCCGGACAGAGAATTCTGCTGTTGTGTCCTTGGGCAAGACACTTAACCCACCTTGCCTGCTGGTGGTGGTCGGAGGGACCGATGGCGCCTGTGCTCGGCAGCCTCGCCTCTGTCAGCGCGCCCCAGGGCAGCTGTGGCTACATCGTAGCTCATCCCCACCTGTGTGTGAATGTGTGTGTGAATGGATGGATGATACACTGTAGTGTAAAGCACTTTGGAGTCCTTACTCTGAGAGGCGCTATACAAGTGCGGGTCATTTATCATTTGATGCAATTTGCTGGGTTCCTTAAATAGGAAACTTTTTACTGATTGGCTTAATGAACTGACCTGAATTGGAATGTTTACTGTGTGAAGCAGGGGCGCCTCCAGAAAAATTTGATAGGGGTGGCCAGATGGGGCAAAAGGAATATTTGGGGTGGCACACCAAATTGGTCCTTGTAGTAATGTTGGGATGTGGTGATATATTGCATTGCTCCTTTATTAGTTTTTAATTTAAAAAATAGCATGTATCCAAAGATTTAACTTACATTTTATAAACACAAACATTTCAGAAAAATACACTTCAGTTATTTAAAATGTTATTTCAAATTTGTTTTAAATGTATTTTTTTATTTGAATTAATCAGTTGCTGCTTTCACAAAAAACTATGGAGATAAAACGTTTTTAAAGAGGTGATTAGCAGAAACATATTTATTTTTAATTCTGATTATTTCTTTACTTATATATATATATATATATATATATATATATATATATATATATATATATATATATACATACATATGTATACACACACACACTTTTTAATGTGTGTGTGTGTGTGTGTGTGTGTGTGTGTGTGTGTGTGAACACTAATTCAAAACACATGATGATATTCTCTGGAAATTTTTGAACTGGGATGTCAGTTAAGCACTATAGGGGATTTCAAGTAAGACAACAGATTTCAAGATTACTTGGAAAAAACTATTATTTTTGTTGTTATTGTTGTTATTATTATTATATTGTACAGTGTGGAACAGCAGGGCGCTGGTGGAGGTCTGAGTCTGCTGGCAGGCCTGTGTTTACTCATTCCTAACTTATTACAGCATTCCTGGATCCAACTCCTTACATGGACCCAAACATAACCTGCGGCTATAAAAACACACAAGCTGCATTCTCAGGTGATTTTTAACAACAAAATACAAAGTAAACAAAAGCTAAACACCGTAGCTATTTCTCTGAACTTTTAAATGCGCAGTGACCATTAGTTTAAGGACATTTTAAACCACGAAACTTCAGTTTTAGAGCAAATATTTACCAAAACCCCAAATAAAGGCCAAGAAAAAGGAAGAAACACAAACCGAACTTTGCTCAACAGTCGGGGTTTTCCTGCTATTTACCTTCTTTCGCTTTTTTTCTTCTCACCAAAGTTCCACCAAGTTTTCCCAGAAAAGAGTCGTCTTTCTTTCTGGAGGACGGTGATTTGGGCGTCGGGGATTTGGGAGACGAAGGAGACTTCTGGGGAGAAGAAGCCATTGTCGTCATTTAATCCGAGACAGCTCCGACAAAACTGTCCGCGTTGATGTGGAAAGTAAAACTGGTTGGGAAATCCAGGAATTAAAAAAGAGGAAAATTTTCTGTCCACTCCCTAAAGCGGAAACGGAATTCCAGACATTTTCACCAGAAGGTTGGATGGAGCAAGAAGCCCCGCCCCCACGGATAACGAGGCGGAGCTACCGGCCCGTGGAGGAGGAGAGGGAAGGGGGAGCGCGGGAAACATTTTTGTTTACATTACACAATAAGAGCATCAAAAACTATCTGGACTTTCCTTTTTAACCGTTATTTCCTGGCTATATTATCAACATCCTTGAAATAAATTACATTTTTATTTATTTATCATTTAAAGGTTTAATTTTCTTGTATAAACTGCAAACAAATTAAAAACATAAGGATAATTGCTTCACAGTATGACAAATAATGACCAATCCTGAAGTTCCTAAAAACATAAAACCTGTGATAAAATCGATTTCCTTTAAATAATTAAATAAAAAAATTGTTCTCTTTGTCAAAATGTACTATGTAGTTTCATAGCCAAATACATCATTGTGCTTCTATAAAATATTAGTGTGTAATGCTACCTAAACTGAGAAAAAACTGTTGTATTTAAATTAAAAGTTTCAATTTACAGATAAATTTCTGATTCCTTGAGAAAAAGGATGGCAGCCAGTCTACTATTTGTTCTATTTAAATTATAATCAAGGGTTATTAGTGTGTTTTTACATACCGAGTAATGAGGAATTTCCCTCAGTCCTTCAAAATAAGAGTCTCAAACATACACATGCCTTAAAACATCTGACATTTGGGTTTTTTATCGGAAAAAAGTAGTAACAAAAATGTTTCACTTTGGCAAATCTTGAAATAACCTACTTCAGATGTTTTTCTACAACATTCACAACAATAGATCCTTCTCCTCAGTGGCTCTAATTCACCATTTAAATTCTTAGAAAAATATTATAATTCTTTATTAAGTTGGTATTAATACAACACAGGCCTAGCATAAACCTGGAAAAACATTTATTTTTGTGAGTTGCATCTTTATTTAGTTCTTTTGCGTTTGTTGTTTGAAACCTTCCGTTTTGTATGAGATAACATCACATCAGTATTTATTAAACGGAGCAAATCATTACTACAATATGCAAAAATGTTCATTTTTAATCAAGAGTTCATTCTGAAAAACTCACAGCAGCAAAACTGACAGACATATGTATTTGTTTATTCCAGTGTGACATAAATTACTTTTAGTGTTTTATCATTTCCAACGTGAACAATGTATTTAAAGGCCGTGAGATTTGTGCAGGGATTAAAAGTGAACACATTTCAACCCCCTCACGAGGAAGGTGACATATTGGTGCAAAAACACCTTTTTTACAGTGTTCCAAAAACAGTGAAATTGCATCAAATACGCTGAATAAATTACAGTCAGATGCACAGTGAAGGACAGTGATTTATATAAAACATTTTAAGGAATTATTATAAAGACTTAAAACAATTCACGTTGTGCAAAGCACAGCCCACCTCAGATGAAGTGCTGAGTCATGTTAATGCTCTCCAGTGAAGCTTTACTGTAAAAAATAAGTCAGTTTTTCACAAGAGATCCAGTGTTTTTAGCTCTGTAACAGAGACCAGAAGCTCAATCTTCATTCTCCCCAGGTCTCCAGATTCAGCATGTGAGCATCAGCATCAAGATTTGCAGCTGGAAATCCACCCAATTGTCATCCCTCACTCCAGCTTCTCCAGTTCTCAGCTGTCGCTCCCGTGAGCCCAGTGAAACTCGTAGCCTCTAGATAAGATCAGGCTTTCCAAGTCCTTGTCCTCAGCCCTCTCCTTCAGCCGCTGCTCCTCCAGGATGGAAACCAACATGTCCCGCTTCTCCACCGTCCTCATGATCTCCACCAGGATCTCCTGCTCCTCCTGCAGCTCAGATGCACTCTTCTTTGTGTCTAATCCAGACAGTAAAAACACTAAAATGAGTGCACAGTCGTAGTTTTTGACTCTGACACTCTCAGTTGAAAGCTTTACCTTCAATTACCATTCGGCATCTTAGATCTTGCTGCAGCCGGCTCTGGGTGTCCTCCAGTGCAAGCTCCTGGGCACTGAAATACAAGAAAAAGGAGTTTCACTAGTGAGAAACACAAAAAACAAAAGCAGCAACACGACGTTTGGTCGTGGTGGCGTTTGATGTGAACACTCACAAGATCATGAGTTCGGACTCATAGCGTGCCAGTCGGTTCTTTTCTAAAACGAGCTGAAACCAGGCCTGGTAGAGCTGCGCCTCGTCACGATCGTCCATCTCAGGCGTGTCTGGGAGGAGGAAAAGGACAAAGGAAACAGGAAATGAAACAAGGGAGGAAGGATGTAAGCAAGTAAGTAAAAGTTTATTTATATAGCGCCTTTCACAGATATAAATCACAAAGCGCTGTACAACATGATGAAGATCAGGGCAAATACCTCTAACCAATAAAAACATCAGAAAAACAATAGCAGTGATAAAGTAGAAAATAAAATCATGAGTATAAACAAAGTGAAGGTGTGAACCCGAACAAAGCCATCTTTTTGAAACATTTAGGGAGGGAACGCCTGGATGAAAAGGTGAGTTTTTAGATGATTTTTAAAGATCTCTACAGTGTTAGAGAGACGGAGATTTGAAGGTAGACTGTTCCAAAGTCTGGGTGCAATAGTCTGAAAGGCCCTGTCCCCTTTGGTTTTCAGTCTGGTTCGAGGAACAGCCAGGAGGTTTTCAGATGTGGATCTAAGGTTCCGAGAGGTGGTGTGTGGGGATAAAAGCTCAGATAGGTAGCTTGGAGCCTGGTTGTTAAGAGCTCTATAGGTCAGGACTAAAACTTTAAACTGAATTCTAAATTCTACCGGGAGCCAGTGGAGGGACTGTAAAACTGGAGTGATGTGAGCTCGTCTGCTGGATTTGGTTAGGAGTCTGGCTGCTGCATTTTGGATGGCTTGAAGGCGTGAGAGGGAGGTTTTGCTGAGACCAGTAAAAAGAGCGTTACAGTAGTCTAAGCGTGATGACACAAAGGCATGGATGATTTTTTCCAGATCTGCAGTAGAAACCAGTTTACGGACTTTTGAAATGTTTCTCAGTTGAAAGAAACAAGAGCGGGAGATGGTTTTGACGTGTGAGTCTAAACTTAAGGCTGGATCAAAAATAACTCAGATAACTCAGAACGTTGGATGAAAGCAGGCATAAAGATGGAAAAAAAAGTGTTTGACAAATTGTTAACCATATAGAGCCACTTTAATAAACAGGAGTCAGACTTTGACCACACACACACACACACACTGGTCTTCAGCAGGAATTCTCTGTTCACTAGCAACCAGACAAAGCCCAGCACTGTGAAAAAGATGAAGCAACAATGAAGACTCAGTCTGTTGCAAACTCAGCCAGTAACTGTATGCAGATGCCTTCAACCCGACTAGATCACAAGGCAACGTTTCTCTCTAAACGGTCTGAGGACGACTGAAAGGACAGAGCTGTTAGGAAGCAGAAGAAGGAAAGCGAAACGCCAACAGGAGTTCCTCCTGGGAGCTGTGTTAGAGTGAGTCACCTCCAAATCCACCTATTTTTGCTGTTAAAATGTATAAATGAGAGTCTAAGGGCCGTGATATACTTGCGGTTTAACCTCACATTGGTGCAGGCTGTCTTTGTTCACATACTTGCTGATACGCAGCACTGCATGTAGTACCGAAGGGTTCCACTAGGGGGCGCACTAGACTATTCAGACCGCAGAGAGAGAGCCGGGTTTGTGGGTACAACCAAAACAAACATGGTGTCAATAAAAGAGCTCACTAACTGGTTACTTTAGGAATCACGACAGAAAAAAAAAGACAGCGGCGGTATCGTAGATGGTGTGAAACACCTCTAAACCAGAGACGGAGTCACCATGGTGAGCGTCTGACTCGTTATGTCAACTCCACCTACTGGTTACTCGTATATGGCAGCGTTCGGACGCATCGCGTTAATTTCAGGGACGCGCACAAACGACGCTTGAAATCAACGCAAGTAACACGTGGCAGCCATTTAAAAAAGTTTGAGTCGTTTAACAGCAAGTATATCACAGCCCTAATAGTACTGTAGACACGAGTAATCATTAGTGCATCTTACTTAAAATGTAATAACTCAACACAAACCCTCAGAAGTACCCAGAGGTGGCTGGCTTGTGTGTGTGTGTGTGTGTGTGTGTGTGTGTGTGTGTGTGTGTGTGTGTGTGTGTGTGTGTGTGTGTGTGTGAGCGTGCTAGTCAACAGCTCATTTCTCCAATGGAGAAACTCCAAGAGTGATCAGGGGGTGGGATGCTGTCAGACACTGCCTCAGCGCCATCCCCGGTCTACCAGGTGACGCCTCCTTTATGTGCATTTTTTAAACAGGAAGTGTGGGTGGAGTAAGACTCTGGTAGGGGGTGACTTGCTCTTTAAAGACCGAGACAGAACTTGTGCACAAGTACCTTCGGCTCTTATGGTCTTCTCTATTGCCACTCCTTTTTCCTCCAGATCTCTCTGCTTCTCTTCAACTTCCTCCAGTTGCCTCTGGATCATCTGCACAAAAAAGACAAAATAACACATTTCAGGCATTTTTCCACTTTAATAATTTCACCCTCACTCACTCCCAAGAAGCACTGAGAATAATTATCCTGATCTTGTCAAACTAACCACAAATGACAGGGTGTGTCCACATCCAGGCGCTGAGTAGCATTTTAGGGCCGATAGCGTCTCAGCGAAGCAACAAGGCTATCTGAACCCAAAGGACACCTAAAAGCTTCTGTTTTCCCCGAAAGATGAGTCTGGCAAAGGCTATCCCGGGATTCATTGTGGGCCAAATGGGAGATTTTTGTTTTGTAATAAAGAGGGGGTGTTAATCTTATTAATCTGACAGTAAAAAAAAATTAAAACATGAAAGCGTTTCTTTCTTGTTTTGTTCGTAACTGATGGTTGTTTTTTTTTAAATATAATAAGAAAATAAGAAAAATCCACATAAACAAGCTCATACAACAGGTTCTGTATTTATTTATATACTTCTGCCAAGTCTAGCTTTAACTTCTGTTTAGCGCCGTTGCTAGGTGGCCGGACATGCGCTCAGATAAGGACGGGAACAAACGCGTAGGCTAAACCGTTCAAATTCACAGCCACTCACTTCCTGTCTAAGCAGTCGAGGAAGCACCCGACCTACGTGGGCAGAATAGGACTGATGCTGGCCCGGAATTTGGACACAGTCACTGTTTTTGTACAGAGCATCTCTGGAGAGAAACAATCCTTTGGCTTATGCATTATTAATACATGCTGAAAGCAAGTTTAAAAAGTTTACAAATTGAATGAACGATTAATTTAATTCAATTCAGTTTATTTTTAAAGTGCAAAGTCACAACAAGAGTTGTCTCAATCAGTAAAAAGTTTCCTATATAAGGAACCCAGCAGGTTGCATCAAGTCACTGACTAGTGTCAGAGTCTTTACAGCAATCCTCATACTAAGCAAGCATGCAGCGACAGTGGAGAGGAAAACTCCCTTTTAACAGGAAGAAACCTCCAGAGGATCCTGGCTCAGTGTAAGCAGCCATCCACCACGACTCACTTCATTACAAATTTATTTTTTTTTATTTTATTGTACTAGGTTATTTGAAAAGGACAATGCATACTCATGAACATATGAACGTAAATATGCCAGATTTAGCCCTGAGGCTACTCTTTATCTGTAGACCGTACAAGCTAGCTCTGCTAGCAGCTTCCGGTTTCTGCTTCTTCTGGTGGTCGGTGGCCAGCGTAAAGGTGCACTAGCGCCATCTGCTGGCTGGAGTCATGGAACCCCCCAAGGCGCTTTACAACACAGTCAGTCATTCACACACACATTCACACACTGGTGGGGATGAGCTACAGTGTAGCCACAGCTGCCCTGGGACACACTGACAGAGGCGAGGCTGCCGAGCACAGGCGCCACCGGTCCCTCCGACCACCACCAGCAGGCAATGTGGGTTAAGTGTCTTGCCCAAGGACACAACGACAGCGACAGACTGAGCGGGACGCGAACCTGCAACCTTCCGATTACGGGGCGGGCACTTAACTCCTGTGCCACCGTCGCCCCTATTTAAAGATTATAAATATTAGGCAACATGAATATGTTCATGTTTCTAATGATTTTATAAGTCTCAATGAAATTCCTCATCAACATCTATTTTTAATCTAAAATTGTCCCTTTTTTCCAATTTTTTATGATTTTTCAAAACTTTTTAAATGTTTTATTCGTTCTTGAGATGCACCTCATTCAGCGCTTTGTGATTTATATCTGTGAAAGGCGCTATTTAAATAAACTTTTACTTACCTCGTGATTTCATCTTGAGAGGCGTTGTATTAAAAAGATTATTTAGGTAAAGTCACTGTGTGGTATGGAAACTGCAGCGTGCACGAGGAAGGTTACATTTCAGCGGTTGATTGTTATTCACGTGAAAGAAAATGTAAAACGGTTTCGAGACAAACTCAGAGTGAGCAGGATCACGACAAAAGAGACAAAGAAGCATCAACGTGGAAGTAGAAGTGGCCAAAATACTCTATTTTTAATAGAAGAGTAAAATGAAAAACTAAAAAGCGTCTTTCCGCAGCTCAGAGGTGCAGCCACGTAAGTGCCGTCTAATTCAACCTGAATGCCTAAAAACTACAGAAAAATTCCTGAGCACAAGAATCCAACGAAAATGTGACCTTTACTGACTCTGAAACTTTTATTCTGTCTTAATAAACTCATCCAAACACAAAAGGCTCACAGAAAGATGGGTAAGGTCAGCATTCACACTTCTTGTGAGGTCAGACTGTTAGACGCAGCGCGTCGAGGCCATATTCAGCTCACTGTCAAAAACATCTCCACATCAGAAAAACTAAATCTGCACCTGGGCTCTGTGAAGCCTCTTCAGCTGCTCTCGCTTAGCCTGCTGGACGGCCATCTTTTCCTGCTTCTTCTTTTGTTTCTCTGAAGAGATCTGAAACAGAGCTAATCAGACACACTGAGCTGGACTTTGCCAGATCCTAGAAAAGATCTCTTCAAACCTTGAGGCTGGATGTCGGAGTTTCATTCTCATCACTTGATGACGACAGCTCCTCCAAATGCTGCTGGCTAGAGGCTGAAAAACAGCACAAAGGCTGATCAAGCACGCTAAGTTTGGACTCATTTAGCTGCATCTGCGCTAAAAAGCTTGTTTTTGATCAGAATTGTAATTTTTATTTGTAATTTCAAAGCTTGAAGAAAAAGACCACACTCCAATCAGAAAGAGCTAACTTCCTCCAATCCAAAGCAGATGAGCTACCCGAACCTCGCCGTCGATGCCGTTTAGAAGTCTCCACACTCACCTTTGTTTCTCAGGTTAGACAGGAACGTCCTGATTTCTTTTTGGACCTCCTGGTCGCTCCCTTCGCCCTTTGGCACGTCCCTCTTTCTGAGCCGAAGAGACGAAAACAAGTCGAGCCTTTTGCTGCGTGGGTTCGCGGTGTGTGAAAACACTCCTTCAGGGTCTCTCTGACCATTAAGGGACACCTGCTGCAACAAGGATGGCAGGTCTCTGCCCGCCCCCCACGGATCTGTGCTCACAGACGCCCACCGGACGTCGTGCACACTGGTCCTCCTCTCCTCCTCTGAGGAATTTTGAACCACGTTGCTGAGTTTCGAGTTAAAGCCAAACGCTCCTTCGGACACTGGCCTCCGTTTGGAAAGGCCGTCGCGTTTGGGTCTCCTAGCAAAGCAGAAGTTTAGGACAGATGAGACGAACTACACAGAGAAAGTCATTGTCCATCTAAGATGTGCGACTTAAATACAAACATTACGACAGCGGTCTTGGAGCTGCTGGGCTGAGCGCTCCCACTGAACGTCCTCCTGAAGGCGTTGGCTAAGACCTGAAAGGCCGAGGTTTGGCTCTGGGATGTCGTTCCATCCTGGCTTGGGTTCGTCTGAAGCTCATCGGCTTCTGCTTGAACCTGATAAAACATCAGATAAAAGCAAAAATGTGCTCGACGTCTTGTGGGACAGACTTTTCTCACATCTCTGAGTTTGTATTGCTGCAGAAAGAGTTTTTTAAAACAAAGATCTCCACGGTTAGCCTTCACGTCGCGGCCTCACCTGCTTTTCATGTTGGGGTGAATTTGTGGAAGTTTCTTCTGGTTTCAGCTCCCAGTTCAGAAGTTTCTCCTTATCAGACTGGGTTAGGACTAGGCGCTTCCTCGGAGCGCTGGAGGCCGACTTTATGGCCGCTGATTGCTCATCTTTCCTCTCGCTGCCCTCCGAGGGGTTTTTGGCCTCTGCTGTTGATTTGGAGTCCTAAAAAAGCAGAAATGCACTCATGAAATGTTTATTTCTGCAGTATTATAAAAAAAACAAGCAAGAAAACGCTCTAAATGCATTTGCCTTTTTATACTCTTGTGCCCATAAAAGTTTTAATTCAAACAGCTTGAATTTAATTTCTGTTAATACAGCTTACGGCTCGTTTTCCAGTGGAGGCGGCTTGGGCGGAGTCTGGAACCGTCTCTTGTTTGTGTTTGTTGAATATCAGAGGGAAGGCTGCAAGCAAAAGCACAAGAAAAATATCATTATCAATTAAGTACAACAAATAAAGTCAATTATCAAAAATTATCTACATAAAACATAAGAAAGCTGAAGTTACAGTAAAGGTAATATGGAAACAGAATGGTGGAGATGTAAGTGAATTAAGTTCATTAAAAGAAATGAAATAATAAGCTGCTTTTAATTCTGACCTTGACAATTTCATTATGCATGAGTTTTTCCAATACTGCACAAGCCTCATGCAGGCTCAGAGCATGCACTGGGAACACGTCAGAACACTTTACAGCAAATTTTAGCTCAAAGGCCGCAAACGCTATTTACCCGCATGCTAATCTCGATTAGCTGTGGCCGCCATGTTTACTTGGATGGACTTCAAATTTAAATCTCTCCGTGACTTTTATGAGATCTTTTGTAAAAAAAACCCCAAAAAAACACAGCTGCTCTTCACCAAAGAATATTAGTCAAGTTTGTTTGCGCAAAGTTCTGGAAGGAAATTTCTAATTCCAAATTCCATGACCATACACACGGTTTTAATGGAATTGCTTCCAAAAGACTAAAAACTCAAAGATTATACAGATTGTGGATTTGCTGCAGACGTGATCTACACCAAGCATAAATAATTAGATGTTTTTGACGGCTGTGGTGCAGACAGATGTGTAAATATACACAATACCAGGAAAATAAACAAACAATGTCATGAGAAAAGAAGTAAAACAGAAGTACAGGAGAAGGGAAAGGTGTGCAACACTGACACCTAGTGTTGAAAGTTATTCTGATCAGCACTGAAATCTGCAGCTTCAGAAACGTACACACACCACATGAGCGGTAAAAAACAGATATGAAGAGGAGTCAGCGTGCAAAACAAATCCTTTATGTTTAAGGAAACAAGATAAGGGTTTGAGGTGATGGTAAAGAAACGGAGTGGTTAGGCATCTTTAGTCAGCAAAGTCTGCAGGAAGAAGGAAAAATCAGAGCAGAGGCGTTAGACCGGAGGCACTCACTCGTGCGGATCTTTCGTTTCCATCGATTACCGTGTTTGGTGCTAGAGAGCCCTGCAGAGAACAAGACACATCAAAGGAGGCTTATTCTTTTGGAAGCCTGGCCAAAAGTCTCTGAGAAGTTAAAGGTGCAATGTGTAAAAATGGTAAACGGTCTGCATTTGTATAGCAAGGCGCTTCACAACACAGTCAGTCATTCACACTGGTGGGGATGAGCTACGGTAGCTACAGCTGCCCTGGGGCGCACCGACCGGGGCGAGGCCTACCAAGCACAGTCGCCACCGGTCGCTCCGACCACCACCAGCAGGCAAGGCGAGTTAAGTGTCTTGCCCAAGGACACAACAGAAGCGTTGTCTGGTCGCAGACGGGATCGAACCTGCAACCTTCTGATTACTGGACAATAGGGATGGAGTGACTCACCTATCTGACCCGGTGGTTTGTTCGTAACGTTAGCGACTGCACCGGTAGCTTCAGATTGCATCTGGTACAACTGACGGCTATATCACAACGTATCCGTCCATGCATGTCTCTCGTCGTCGGTAAAGTCCACGGTTACACTGATTACTTCTTCGTTTACCTGCTACGTCTTCATTTTTGGAGGAGCATCTAACACCTCATCACAGGTGCTGAGCAGTGGGAGCATTTTGGGACAATATTAACCGACGTACGTGCTTGACTTGCGTCCTCTTGTGCATTTGTGAACAAGAGGAACCCCCCCCCTTCTCTGATTGATCCTCATGGAGTGACTGAAACCCATCAGATGATGTTTCAAACGAATACAAAGACACATCAAATTTAGTGAATCTCCAGTATCCAGGGAACAAGACAAACCCAGAATGAAAGGCTGGCAAACATCAGGCGGCTCTGCATGAAGAACAGATGTCTTTCAGCAGCTGGAAGAGGCGTCAGATCAACAACGTTTGTGCAGATTGAAGACTCACGTTTTTAAAAGATTCGTTAGTTCATGAGACACTTGCAGCCCTTCATGTTCTTTTAAAGTTCTTTATTTGTTCCGTTTGTTACATTTAATGTAGAGTTAGGTTTAAACCTTTTAATTTAGAGACCCTTAGGTTCAAAAAGTATCTTCTGCAGATGAATTTAATTGGGCCGAATGTGAAGCAGCTGGGATGAGAATCAGCTCCTCTAAATCTGAGACCATGGTCTTGATTCGGAAAAGGGTAGAATGCCTTCTCCGGGTCAGGGATGAGGTCCTGCCCCAAGTGGAGGAGTTTAAGTATCTCGGGGTCTTGTTCACGAGTGAAGGAAAACTGGAGCGTGAAATCGATAGGTGGATTGGTGCTGCATCTGCAGTGATGCGGGCGTTGTACCGGTCTGTCGCGGTGAAGAGAGAGCTGAGCTGGAAGGCAAAGCTCTCGATTTACCGGTCGATTTACGTTCCTACCCTCACCTATGGTCACGAGCTTTGGGTAGTGACGGAAAGAATGAGATCGCGGATACAAGCGGCCAAAATGAGTTTTCTCCAAAGAGTGGCTGGACTCTCCCTTAGAGATAGGGTGAGAAGCTCGGTCATTCGGGAGGGGATCGGAGTAGACCCGCTGCTCCTCCACATCGAGAGGAGCCAGTTGAGGTGGCTCGGGCATCTGGCCAAGACTAAAGACTCAAGACAACTTTATTAATCCCCGAGGGGCAATTTGAGACAGCATTGTGAAGCAGCCGGCACTAAAACCCATAAAACCTGTATACACTTTCATGTCCTATCCTCACATGTGGATGACCAACAATGAGTAAACCTTTGGCGCACACACACACACACACACACACACACACACACACACACACACACACACACACACACACACACACACACACACACACACACACACACAAGCATACATGTACATGCACGCACACATACAAGTAATGCACACGCCCCCTATCGGCACTGAGAATTAAGAAGCAGCACAGCTCTGGGAACAAAGGAACTTCTCCTCCTCTGTGTTTTACAGCACGGGCATCGAAGTCGGCGTTTGGAGGGCAGCCGCTCGAAAACAGTATGAAGAGGGTGTGATGGGTCTTTAATGATTTTCTGTGCTAAACTTCCTGTATGCTGGTCCCATTGAGAAGTTAAGCTTCGCAGTGGTAGTCCAATGATCCGAGAGCACACCTTGACGGTGCTTTGTAGTCGGTTTCTATACTGCAGGCTGACAGAATAAAACCAACAGGGGATGGGAAATGTGATAACACTCTCTATAAAAGAATAATAGAAAGTCAGTAAAATGTCCTTCCTGACTCCAAATGAATTCAGCTTCCTCAGGAGGTAGAGTCGCTGCTGGCACTTTCTGAGGATGTCCTCAGTGTTGGAAGCGAATTTCAGGAGGTGATCAAAGGTGGTCCCTAGATATTTATACTCTTCAACCAGCTCCACTGGCTGTCCATGAATGATAGTGGAGGCAGCGGTAACTAGTGCTCTCTGTTTGTTTGAGAAGGACACCACCATCTCCTTAGTTTTGGTCACATTCAGCTCCAGGCCTGCTGTGTCACACCAATCCACAAACTCCTGCAGGACCTGCCCGTGGTAAACAGTAGGGCCTGACAGAAGAGACAGGAGCACAGTGTCATCAGCGTACTTTACCATATAACTGTTAGGCTGGATGGATCTACAGTCATCTGTGTAGAGAATGAAGAGTAGAGGAGACAACACGCAGCCCTGTGGGGTGCCAGTGGAGGTGTAAAGGTCTGAGAGAGTGTTGTTAACCAGCACTCCTTGTGGTCTGTTAGTTAAGAAATCCAGGAATCTGGATGCCTCCCTGGTGAGGTTTTCCGGGCACGTCCAACCGGGAGGAGACCTAAAGGTAGACCCAGGACATGGTGGAGGGACTATGTCTCTCACCTGGCCAGGGAACGCCTTGGGATTCCCCCGGAGGAGATGGCCCAAGTGGCTGGGGAGAGGGAAGTCTGGGCCTCTCGCCTTAGGCTGCTGCCCCTGTGACCCGACTCCGGATAAGCGGATGAAAATGGGATGGATGGATGGGCAGAGTGTGGGAAAAGTCATTCCCCATCAGGTAAGACCACAATCCCAGGTAAATGAGCTAGAATTATACCTTTGGTACTGTCCGGGCTTTGTCCCTCCTCCTTTGCAGGGCCGATTATGCAGGAAGCCTCCAGAGCATCCACAGCCATCTCTGCATCTCCAGGAATGATCCTCTGACCTTTACAGAGCCGCTCCGCCTGCAGGCTGGACGCTCCACCTGAAAATCACAACGGCGAATCAAACTGCAGCTCGTATCAAACCAGCTTCTTAACCTTCAGAAAAACATGGTTACGCTAACGGTCAGGTCACAGTTTCGTCTAGATAACGAACCACGTGGATGATGCAATAAGAAGTGCTCCAGGCTCTGTTTCTGAAGACATGCATGCAGATTAGACTGACTGAAAATGTCTTTTACACCTAAATTAATCTCCTTTCATGAATAAACACCAACAATTCACATGTTCATGTGTACTCACAGAGTGTTGGAGCCAATTTGAACAGAAGAGATTCCACTTGGTCACGGCAAAGGAATGGAAAAGAAACGCCGGGAACGTTTTAAGTCCCAAACGATGCGGCTCTTACTGAAGCTTCCCAAGTTCATTTGTCAACACAACAAATAAAAAAAGGCATCTTTGAAGGAGCTTCGCCTCTCATCTGAGCTTCATCCAGTCAAATTTACAACGAAAAAATAAAGTAACAAGCTTGTAAACTGGACTGAAGACTTTGTTAAAGTGAGCCATGTCAAATACCGACCTCCCATCATCCCTCCTGAGGGTCTTTTCTGTCCCAGGTCACCTTCAAGATGTTCTGATCACATCCCTGAAGGTGCTAAGAGACCCAAAGACCCTCTCTGAGGACTATCTGTTGGCAACGATGGTTTCTGCCGTTAGTTAAGAGAGATGGAGAAGATCAGAACATCTCACACATGGATGACGACCTCATGACCCTGAGGAGGGACGAAAGAGAGAGCTAGCTTGCATTAACAACGCTCTGTTGGGATAAGGAACGCTCCTCAAACGTGAAGCGAAGCGTCTTCAAGTTCAGTTACGCTTTATTTTTCTCTGCTAGCAGGACCAGGAGAAAGGACAGCAAAGACCCAGGAGGACGACCCAGAAGGTGAGAGAAGAAACCGGTTCACTTCAATTCTGCTCAGATGGACTAAAAACAGTCCATCGTTAACATTTCGGCTTCGGGCTCGTTTCTGTCGCTCCTGCCGCTGCGTCACAGAAGGGAAAATCTTTTTAAGCCGTGTCGTTGACGGATCCGCGTGGGTGACGTCAGAATATCGATGTTACTTCTTTCATTTAACCACTAATTTGAGAGAATAAAAAAATAAAAAATAACGCACGCTCAGTGTTCGTGATTTAATGCTTTGGCAATAAATGACAACGCAAGTGAATTATGTAATCAAATAGATTTATTTATGAACATATTTACAATTTCTAAATACCATAAGTTTAGCAGCTTTACAGAATTGATCACTGAGGAACCAAAAGAAAAACAACATGAACAACGATGTGACATTAACAGAAGAGCTGCTCGTCTCCTGAGTGAAAAGCTAGGATGTGCATGAGAAAGATCTGGAGAAGGGCGGAGAGGTGGGGAGGCGTCCGTCTGGAACAGAGGGAACCACAGACAGAAAGACAGACAGACACAGACCACAGACAGGTGGACACACGTTACTGTCAAGCGGGCCTGAATGAGGAGGAAGGAGGCTGCAGACAGAACCCAGGATGGTAAGGAGGATGAGGATGTGAGTGTTAGAGAGGCCATCCGGGAAAATGCAGCAACAATCCGTGCATCGCCACAAGCTTCACATGCTGTGAGCAACGGTTGCAGCTTTGGATATTTATTTGATTCCAGATTTGACAAATTTTGAGGGGAAAAACCCACTAATAAAATCCTGATACCCTGTTGGCTGCTTTAACCTGGAGAGGCACCTGGCTGCAGACCTCCACTGTCAGGACGGGAAATGCACGGGCTACGTTACAAAATAAAACGGCAAACATACCTACGCTTGTAGCTGATAGGTTTCAATATAAAATATTACGTAAAATCTATCAATTATTTCTCTATAGTTCATATATAGTTGTCATTCATTTAGTAAACCTTAGTTTTGTTTGTCATTTTGTTGTGTGTTTTCCTTTTCTGCTGCACAACGTGGTCATTATGATATATTCTGTCATGATCTAAGACGTAATATTAACCCTTTGATGCATGAATTATGAAATCTTCAACCATGATTTTTTTAACAATTTTTTTTCATTCATCTTTAGGTGTGAACAAAACAAATTTCAACAAATATTTGTTGTTAAATTTTATAATTTACAAATAATTTATTCTCCTCCTTGAACCGTCACCTTATCGTGGTGGAGGAGTTTGAGTGCCCTAATGATCCTAGGAGCTGTGTTGTCTGGGGCACTTTGTGCCCCTGGTAGGGTCTCCCATGACAAATTGGTCTTAGGTGAAGGGTGAGACAAAGAACGGTTCGAAGGATCTTTCATGGCGGTTAAAACGAAGAGTCGGAGTACCCGGCCCGGAGGGTTACCGGGGTCCCACCCTGGAGCCAGGCCTGGGGTTGGGGCCCGTGAGCGAGCGCCTGGTGGCCGGGCTTTCGCCCATGGGGCCCGGCCGGGCCCAGCCCGAACCGGATACATGGGCTCGTCCAACTGTGGACCCACCACCCGCAGGAGGAACATGAAGGGTCAGGTGCAATGCGAATCGGGTGGCAGACCAAGGCGGGAGCCTTGGCGGTCCAATCCCCGGACAAGAAAACTAGTTTTTGGGACATGGAACGTCACCTCGCTGGCGGGGAAGGAGCCGGAGCTTGTGGCAGAGGTTGAGCGGTACCGGCTAGATATAGTCGGACTCACCTCGACACATTGCATTGGCTCTGGAACCCGAGACCTGGAGAGGGGTTGGACACTCTACTTTGCTGGAGTTGCTCCGGGTGAGAGGCGGAGGGCTGGGGTTGGCTTTTTGTTAGCCCCGAGACTCTCTGCCTGTGTGTTGGGGTTTACCCCGGGGGACAAGAGGGTAGCTTCCTTGCGCCTTCGGGTCGGGGAATGGGTCCTGACTGTTGTTTGTGCTTATGGGCCAAATATCAGTTCAGAGTACCCACCCTTTTTGGAGTCCCTGGGACGAGTGCTAGATAGTGCTCCATCAGGGGACTCCATTGTCCTGCTGGGGGACTTCAATGCTCACGTGGGCAATGACAGCTTGACCTGGAGGGGTGTGATTGGGAGGAACGGCCCACCTGATCAGAACTCGAGCGGTGTTTTGTTATTGGACTTCTGTGCAAGCCGCAGTTTGGCCATAACGAACACCATGTTCGAACATAAGGATGCCCACCGGTACACTTGGTACCAGGGCAGCCTAGGTCACAGGTCGATGATAGATTTTGTAGTCGTATCATCTGACCTGCGGCCGTATGTTTTGGACACCCGAGTGAAGAGAGGGGCGGAGCTGTCAACTGATCACCACCTGGTGGTGAGTTGGATCAGATGGCAAGGGAACATGCCGCGTAGACCTGGCAGACCCAAACGCATAGTGAGGGTCTGCTGGGAACGCCTGGCAGAAGAACCTGTCAAGACGGTCTTCAACTCCCACCTCCGGCAGAGCTTTGACCACGTCCCGAGAGCAGTGGGGGACATTGAGTCCGAGTGGGCCTTGTTCCACTCTGCGATTGTCGAGGCGGCTGTTGCTAGCTGTGGTCGTAAGGTGGCCGGTGCCAGTCGTGGTGGCAACCCCCGTACCCGCTGGTGGACACCAGAGGTTCGGGGAGCCGTCAGGCTGAAGAAGGAGGCCTACAGGGCGTGGCTGGTCTGTGGGTCTCCGGAGGCAGCAGACAGGTACCGGATAGCCAAGCGGGGTGCAGCAGTGGCAGTTGCCGAGGCAAAATCTCGGGCGTGGGAGGAGTTTGGTGAGGCCATGGAGAAAGACTATCGATCGGCTCCAAAGAGGTTCTGGCAAACTGTCCGGCGCCTCAGGAGAGGAAGGCAGCAACTCGCTCACACTGTTTACAGTGGGGATGGGGAGCTGCTGACGTCAACTGAGGCTATAGTCGGACGGTGGAAGGAATACTTTGAGGAGCTCCTCAATCCCACCAATGCGCATTCCGAGGAGGAACCAGAGCTGGGAGGCCTGGGGATGGACTGTCCGATCTCGGGGGCAGAAGTTGCTGAGGTAGTCAAACAACTACACAGCGGCGGAGCCCCGGGGGCGGATGAGGTTCGTCCTGGGTATCTCAAGGCTATGGATGTTGTAGGGCTGTCATGGTTGACACGTCTCTACAACATTGCGTGGTCATCGGGGCAGTTCCTAGGGAGTGGCAGACCGGGGTGGTGGTCCCCATCTTTAAGAAGGGTGACCTGAGGGTGTGTTCCAACTATAGGGGGATCACACTCCTCAGCCTCCCGGGAAAGGTCTACGCCAAGGTACTGGAGAGGAGGGTCCGATCGATAGTTGAATCTCAGATAGAGGAGGAGCAATGTGGTTTTCGTCCTGGCCGTGGAACTGTGGACCAGCTCTATACCCTTGCAAGGGTGATGGAGGGGGCATGGGAGTTTGCCCAACCAATCCACATGTGCTTTGTGGATTTGGAGAAGGCTTATGACCGTGTCCCCAGGGGCACCCTGTGGGGGACGCTCCAGGAGTATGGGGTGGGTGGCTTTCTGTTAAGGGCCATTCAGTCCCTTTACCAGAGGAGCGTGAGTTTGGTCCGCATAGCCGGTAGTAAGTCGGACCTGTTCCCAGTGAGGGTTGGACTCCGCCAGGGCTGCCCTTTGTCACCGGTTCTGTTCATCACTTTTATGGACAGAATTTCTAGACGCAGCCGTGGTGTGGAGTGTGTCGAGTTTGGTGGCAGGAGAATCTCGTCTCTGCTTTTTGCGGATGATGTGGTCCTCCTAGCTTCATCCAGCTCTGACCTTCAGCTCTTGCTGGGAAGGTTCGCGGCCGAATGTGAAGCGGCTGGGATGAGGATCAGCACCTCCAAATCTGAGACCATGGTTCTCGACCGGAAAAGGGTGGCTTGCCACCTCCGGGTCGGGGGAGAGGTCCTACCTCAAGTGGAGGAGTTTAAGTATCTCGGGGTCTTGTTCACGAGTGAGGGTAGGAGGGATCGGGAGATCGACAGGCGGATTGGTTCGGCGTCTGCAGTGATGCGGACGCTGAGCCGATCTGTCGTGGGGAAGAGGGAGCTGAGCCAGAAAGCCAGGCTCTCGATTTACCGGTCGATCTACGTCCCAATCCTCACCTATGGTCATGAGCTTTGGGTAATGACCGAAAGAATGAGATCGCGGATACAAGCGGCCGAAATGAGTTTCCTCCGTAGGGTGGCCGGGCTCAGCCTTAGAGATAGGGTGAGGAGCTCGGACATTCGGGAGGGACTCGGAGTAGAACCGCTGCTCCTCCGGATCGAAAGGAGCCAGTTGAGGTGGTTTGGGCATCTGGTCAGGATGCCTCCTGGACGCCTCCCCGGGGAGGTGTTTCGGGCATGTCCTGCCGGCAGAAGGCCCCCGGGTCGACCCAGGACACGTTGGAGAGGTTACATCTCCAATCTGGTCCGGGAACGCCTTGGGGTCCTGCCGGAGGAGCTGGTGGACAAGGCCGGGGAGAGGACGGCCTGGAGCTCCCTAATTGGGATGCTGCCCCCGCGACCCGGACCCGGATAAGCGGAGGAAGATGAAGACGAAGACAAATAATTTATTACATATCCACCTTGGTGGATAACATGCATTCTGAACATGAAATATGTTGGCTTGGCTTACTGAAGTACAAATGGAGGGACTCAAATGCAATAAAGTCTTCAACAGTTGTGCTTAATAGCAAAAACAAATAAATAACAATTTTGAGTACCTGTCCACTGTAGTGACCATTATGCATCAAAGGGTTAAAAAATGAATGTGTTTGTGAGGAGAGCGATTCAACCGAAACAGCATTCGGGATTTTATTTAGAAACATGACCACCGGAAGTATGTTAGCGTATGTTTGCGTTTTACGTTGAAACCTATCCCGGCCATTCGTTAATTCATTTAGAAAAATTACAACCGTAAGTATTTTAAATGACAACTACATATGAGCTATAGAGAAATAATTGATAGATTTTACGTAATATTTTATATTGAAACCTATCAATTGCAAGCGTAAGTGTGTTTGCCGTTTTATTTTGTAATGTAGCCCGTGCATTTCCCGTCCTGACAGTGGAGCCTCCACCGGAAACAGCCTGACAGTGGAGGTCTGCAGCTAGGTGCTCTTGCACAGCTCTGTTACCATTAACAGTCTACAGAGCCCCTGATGGGTCCCTAACCATGGTCCTTGAGGGACACACTCCTGAATGTTTTAGATCATTTTCACCTAATTTTAATTATCAGGTCAAAAACAGGCTGGGAAGTGTTGAAGACAGCAAATAAACCACTGAAGGATTTAATTTTACATCAAAATGCTTCAAAATTAATATTTAACCTCCTGAGACCTGAATTTGTATTTGGTGTGATTAAAAAGAAAAAACACTTCAGGCCATTACAGATGAGTTAACTCACAAACGTGAACAAAAAAGTAAATAAATTAAAATGCTGACAAACTTCCAAAAAAAAAAAAGAAAGAAAAATAAAAAATCTAAGCTTAGAGTCAATATCAAGAGTCGTAAAATAACATTAAAAATGTTTAAGTTGAAGAGAATTAAATATTATAGTGAGGAAGAAGAAGAAAATATCATTTCTGTAGCGCCTCTCAAGTTAAAAATCACGAGGCGCTTCAAGAAGACATTGATAGTGTATAGTGCAAGAAGACATTGATAGTGCATAGTGCAAGAAGACATTGATAGTGTATAGTGCAAGAAGACATTGATAGTGCATAGTGCAAGAAGACATCGATAGTGTATAGTGCAAGAAGACCTTTATAGTGTATAGTGCAAGAAGACATTGATAGTGTATAGTGCAAGAAGACATTGATAGTGTATAGTGCAAGAAGACATTGATAGTGTATAGTGCAAGAAGACATTGATAGTGCATAGTGCAAGAAGACATTGATAGTGCATAGTGCAAGAAGACATTGATAGTGTATAGTGCAAGAAGACATTGATAGTGTATAGTGCAAGAAGACATTGATAGTGTATAGTGCAAGAAGACATTTATAGTGTATAGTGCAAGAAGACATTGATAGTGTATAGTGCAAGAAGACATTGATAGTGTATAGTGCAAGAAGACATTGATAGTGTATAGTGCAAGAAGACATTGATAGTGTATAGTGCAAGAAGACATTGATAGTGTATAGTGCAAGAAGACATTGATAGTGTATAGTGCAAGACATTGATAGTGCATAGTGCAAGAAGACATCGATAGTGTATAGTGCAAGAAGACATCGATAGTGTATAGTGCAAGAAGACATTGACCACGTGTGTGGATACAGGGTCTTAGGAGGGTAAAAATGTCTGAAAACAGTAAGAAAAGGTGGCGAATAATCAGATAAGTTTCTATATAATAAACAGTTTTAAGATCACGCGGTTACGTTATCGAGAGCCGATGACTCCCAAACAGCAGCAACACGACTGAATCTGCGTTAGCACGAGGTTAATAATAAAGCTTCACACCACACTCCTAACATCTAAATCATGCCAGCCGTGGTTCTCCAGCTGCATTTAATGGTCATTTTGGGTTAGGTGGAAAAGGGGACGGAGCTACAAAAGCAGCCAATGCACAAAGTGACACAGCAGCTCGTCACGACCAAAACTAGCCAATCGTCACCTTCTGCGCTGGCAGGAATCAGCCAATCAGAGCGTGCAGCAATGGAAACTTGAAACAGGCTGAACAAAATGAAGTGAATGAGACGGAGGAAAATGGATTTGGCGGAGAAAAGAGGCGATGAAAGAAGAAAAGGTGTGTTCATAATTACATAAATATGATTATTATTATTATTAATAATATAAGACACCACTTCAATCATAATTCAAATATTTAAATGATCACATTAATTACCATTTACATGATGTCATACAAAAACAGTTCATAAAATAAAATTACAAAAAGTCATTTTTTAATCTGGCTTGTTTTTCTGATTTACTGCACTTTTCAAAAAGCTGGAAGGTCAAATGTTGTTTTCAAAAGCTCCAAATTATTTCAAAAGAGGTAAAGTAAAGAACTGAGTTTAATCAAAAATTGAAGAATTTGAGATAAGATGAGAGGTAAATAAATAAAAATAAAAATGTGCAGCAGGATAAGTTGTAAAGTAAATATGCTTAAATTAATACTTGACGGTATTATTTACTCACATTTAAATTAAAAAGACATGAATATCTAGAATATAAAAAGTGACATTACTAAAATACACAAACTTTATTTGACCAACAATACTAAATTAAAAATACTGTCGCGGCATTTCCTTTGCACGTGTCTGTTATGCAGAGGTAAGAAGGTAACATGAGTGTGATATTCATATTTCAACACTCTTGTCGTAAGTTTAGCTTCAGGGTTAAAGTCGGGACAAGTCCCAGGTCGATGTGCTAAACCAAACCGGCGTGGTTTTCTGCACAGCCGCCGGGAACGAGCCCACATGAGTCAGAAAAGTGCCCAGAGGGTTGCTATAGCCACCAAATTATACATATCACATTTGAGACGGTGTGTTTTAAAGGAACGTTCTGCTGTCTTTAAGTTTGGTTGCACCCATATGAGTAAGTGTCTTACCTGCAGGAGGCAGCATTCAGATGATCTCCGTTTGGAGAATCAGGAAGTAAAAGGCAAATCTCACAGCTTTTGGACCAGAATTACAGCACTGAGTTTAGCCTAACATGCTAATTGTGTTTAATTGTGATAATAAATACTGACAATATTTCTGATGGTGTTGCCTCTCTGAGTCGATGACTGAACATGGTGCTCTGGATCCTCCTGAATAGGTCCTGACTTCCAGCTACTGCAGGTGAGACACTCACTAAACTAAACTAACCCTTTACCTTTTTATCTGTTCAGTAAGAACCTAATCAAGAATAGCATCAATTTAAAATACCGATGGTGACTGTAGACACTAAAATGGAAGAACTTCTGTAATTATTTGGTGTTAAATTGATTCTTAACGGGCTTTACAAGAGAAGCCACCCACATGTAGGTAAACCTGACAGCACCCCCCTACACCCGCTGGAGACCGAGGAGCTGCTGCTGCTGCTGGACCAGCTGGGACTCCTGGTAGATCTGTCCCAACATCTCATGCATCATGCAGAGCAGAGGACAGCCCAGGCTCAGCAGCTCAAACAGGAACAGGTAGTCATGTGAGCAGCTCCTGACGTGGGACCCCGCGGCTGTGAAAGACTCACACACACTTCCCAACAGCCGTCGGGGCAACGCACACACAGCCCGACTAGCGCGCCTCGGCCAGCTCAAACCTCGCCTAAGCAAGGAAACCAGGGTACCTGTAGGTTGGGCGCCGCCTGTGGAGGGGTAGATCCCGCCGTCCAGAGACGAGGGTTTGATGCTGCTTTGGTCTTCCTGGAAATGTCAGAGGGCAAAATGTCATTATTTACAAAATCAATCAAATTAAACGGATCCTGGACTAAAAGAATCTGTAATGATGTTACACATATAAATATTCTCACAAAACTAGGATTTATTAGAGGAAAGTAAATTAAAATCAACATTTTTGCTAGTTTTTCATCCATATCTGGATTTTTTTAAACCTTTATTTGTTTTAATGAATACAATTTTGTTCTTTTCTACGCTCCTCCAGCAGCAGCTGGGAGGTGGTTCTATACGACTTTCCCTGGTTGTGATGTCACAAAAAGGGACAAATCATTTCTAAAACTAAACACTGACATAAAACGGATTGGCAGTTTATTCATGTCTGGAGTAGAAACCCACATGGCGGTTGGATACTTTGTCCCCTTTAAAAACAAACAAACATATAATCTCTGTTGTCTCTCACCGTTCTCCTTCTGAACCGGCCCAGATGACAGCTGGACCGGCGCTGGGCGTAATGCATCTTACAGTAGAATTTAACTGCAAAACAAAGAAATCACAGTAAACAACTGTTACCAGACTGTTTGCAGAATTTAGGTGAGGGCACTAACTAGGACGCACCCTCCCGAGAGTCGAAGCTGTGTCCTCCCAGTCGGAGCGTGCAGTTACAGACGTCACAGCGGAAACACTCGCGATGGAAGAAGAAGCCCTCAGCGCTGAGTCTCTCCATCACGTAGACCCGTTTGGTGCAGAAGTGGCAGACGTCGCTGCCGCCGAGCCCAGCAGCAACATCTCTACGCCCCACACACTGACGGAAACAAAACAGTGGGAGAGGCTGAATCACGACCTAGATGAGGATGAGGATATTCCTGCTTCGTGGTCAGTTTAAGGGTCTTTTTACTCCTGCAGAAGCTTAAAGAAAACAAAATGAGAAAACCAGCAGACCAAATCCTGTAGACCAGCAAGCATCTCCATTAGAAAAACTGAACACTGGTGAGAACAATAATCGCCCGGGCTAGTAGAGATCACACACACCTCCCTAAAACGGAGGACTAAATCTGTTTTAGTTTTGTTATTAAGTGCAACGACAAGTTTGCTGCCCTGTGCAACTTCCAGTTTAAAGATGATCAAACTTTTTTCAAACGGGGACTCGTCCTCTCGCCCTCCTGCTGCTGCAAAGTGAAGCCTAAATGTCCTGTATACAAAATCCATGGGATGTATTTATTTACTTATATAGGAAAATCAATAATTACAGCTACAATTATTAGAAAAATACACACACGGATATTCTTTACAAGAAAGGGGTGGGGCTAAAACATAAATTCTGCAGCCAGCCACTAGGGGGGATGTAGGCTAATTCGTGGGATTTGCTTGCAGAAATGTGAAAAAAACTAATGGAGGAATTCTGATTGGATAGATTTCCATACATATATATAGACGTTGAAACCTCTGCTAGCTGGGTTATGAGTTATAATCAAATGCACAGACTGATAAAACTTCCTGAACTAGGGCTGAACGATTAATTGCATATGGAATTAAATTGCGATGTGACAAAAGGAGATTTTCTAATCGCAAAGGCTGCGATTTGACTGGCAGTGAGTGGTTAGCACAATGCTAATATACATTGAAAAACCCATAGAGATGCTAATGCTAATATCGCCGATTACATTCGTACAAATTACGAATTAGGAACTTGCCAAATTATTACATTTGGAGTCTAATAAAAAATAAAAACTGTTATTAGTCAAATAAGTACAGACAGATATTTTAGTAAAGCTAGAAAATTGTAAGAGATTTTGAATCCACTGGCTAGCAGCTATGAACGAAATTGAACTACGGAAGCTCTGCATGGACAAAACGTCAAAAACTCTAAAATCAAAATACTTCAATAAATGGGACACACTTCCTGCAAATCAGTTTTCACAGTTGATGCCAATACCTATGGTCCTTCAATGGATGTGCTCCTGGCTGCAAAGCATTGCACCTTAAAATACAAAATTTTGTTTTTACTTGTGTTTATGTAGACAAATAAACAAGTTGATATATATGTAGATAAATATGTAGATACATAACCTTGTTTATATTCAGTACAAGTTACATAGATTTTATATATTTTTTGCTTCCGTTAGTTGAAAAATGAGAAAAGCCCCTTGAGAAAATAATCGTGAACTAAATCGCAATTGCAAGATTGAAGAAAAAAATCGCAATTAGATTATTTTCCAAAATCGTTCAGCCCTATCGTGAACACGATCAAAGTAGAAGCTGGATGTTGAATCACCTCAAGCTCTCACCATGTCCTTGCATGCCTCAAAACCACAACATTAGTAGTTTATTATGAAAGCCGGGGCGGCCGGGGTTAGATCTGTCAGCGCCCGCAATCAGCTTACCGGCATGGCACCGGGCCTGTGGTCTGTCTCATAAAGGATGGCCAGCATCTGAGCTTTAGCATCTATAGCTGAAGATACCTTTCCAACGGTGCGCTAATGTTACAGCCGGGAAGGAAGGAAGGAAATCACAGAAAAAGCGTGAATTATGACTCAGCTTTTAGTCACTAGAGTGTATGTGGAGCGATGGATTGTTTGTACCTCTTTACTGTAACTAGGCGCTGCAGAGGGACAGCTCTCAGAGCGAACTACGGCTTTTCTGGCGCCTTCGTCGTCGCAGCACACAGTACGCTAAACGAACACCAGAATGAGCATCACTAAGATGATTCAAGCCAGAAGATTTAGACTCAAAACCCCAAATCTTATTGCATCACCAAATATAAATATTGCTCTTTTTGTCGCAGCTGGGGATTTGTGGGTGATTTAGGTCACATAAACGAAGCTTTAGAAGCTTTAACTCGTTCATTTTGATTTTAATTGGAAAAATCAAAATATAGAACAAAAAAACGTTCAGTAACTTTAGGAAAAGTGTAAAAAAAAAAAAAAGACTTTTAGGGGATTTTTATTCAGTGTGACCAAAATAAATGTTACACCCAGATCTGGTTTAAAGTAGTTTACGTCCAGGTAGTTAGTTACAGATTAGAAAGCCAAGCCTGAGAGAAAAAGATGCTCTAGTTGCTGTAACTAGTTATACTTAACTAGTTGTTGTCTATATGAGCGTGGTAAACTTGACACTATTGATTTATTGATGTGGAAGTCTCTGATTGGTTGGTTGGTTTATTTCACTGCAGAGCTTGTGTGATGATTGTTGCTTTGAATTCTCGGTTTGTAAAACAATGCAACACTAGAATAGTCATTCATTAATATCTATTGAGTTCGGTTAGGGTCATGCACATTTTACCTTCAAATGATCCTTTTCAGATCGTTCTATTTCTGCCCCGCTCGTGCGCTTTTCCTGGTTTTCCGCTCTATTCTTTATTCTCTCGTTTCTCAGCTCAGCATCACAACAATCAAAGCAAACCGATGGAGTGGGAGGAGGCGTTTCCTCGCTGGAGGTGAGGGAATCTGAGTGATGGGGAGCTGATGGAGGTAAAGCCGAGTGAATGAGAGTCTGTTCTTTATGTTGGGAGATGGACGGGACAGAGGAGAAACTGGCATGAGCAGAGGGATCGGGGACGGGGTGGACCACCGGGTACGAGCTGGACTGCTTACACTCCGACAGGGGAGCAGGAGGGGGGAAAGAGGGAGGAGGTGATGGAGGAGGAGGAGCAGAGAGTTCCACCTACAGAAGTAGAGTCAGACAGACGTTGGAGAGCAAAGGGAATAAACCAAAAAAGGAAACAAAGGTTTTTTTTTAACACGCACAAAATAAAGAAACAATTTTTTTAGCAAAATCCTCAAAAAATTAGGAGTAAATCTAATCCTCAAATAAATGAGAGGCCAGCAGCAGATTTTAACGCCACATTTAGAGCTGAAGCCGTTATTTTGACCATTCTCTGATACAGAACCTGTGAACCAGAACCAGCAGCAGATGGCTTATTGGACCCATGAAACATGGAGGAGAGGAGGACAGCTCTCTCTTTTATACTCTTTCCTGAGAATTCTCTAGTGGAAAACTTCTGGTTTTTCCTCTGAAGAGAAAACGGGAGGTGGTTAAAGAGAGGACTAAACACGGATAAAAGGTTTCAGACGTGGGAGGAAGTTCACCTGCTGCTCAGGGGCCGGATCAGCATCCGGAGGACAGAGAGCAGAAACATTATGGGAATGGGGAGAGGTGCATTCTGGGAGATGAAGCTCAGGGGCAAGAGGGCTCGGAGAGCGAGAAGCACCTAAAGGACTTTTAGAAGGTGATGGCGATCGACTGTGGCTGCTCCAGTGGTGAGAAAGTTCAGGAGAGGAAAGGAAACTGGCCTGTTGGACCACAGAATTGGGATTCTCCAGCAAACGAAGGTAAACAGAAGGCTGGAAACCAGTAAAGGAAGAGAGCAGAAGAAGGATGAGATGAATACAAGTTAAGTGGTTAAAGAGAAGACAGAAGAGTTTGGTTCATACCTGCCACTTAGGGCGAGGGAGAGGAAGAGGAGGAGGAGGAGGAAGGTCTTTGGGTTTGGCAAAACGGGGGTTTAATTCTTCCTCCTCCTTTTCCTCATCATCCTCTTCTGAGGATGACGAGGGGGTGGAAGGAGACAGAGGAGAAGAAGATGAACTGAGTGGGTCTTCAGACTGCTACGAGAATGGGAGAGGAGAGGAGAGAAGGGGAGAGGAGAGGAGACGAGGGGAGAGGAGAAAGAGAAGAGGAGAAAATAGGAGAGCATAGAGGAGAAGACAAGAGAGGAGAGGAGACAAGGGGAGAGAAGGAGAAAACAGGAGAGCATAGAGGAGAGGAGAGTAGAAGACAAGGGGAGAGGAGAGGAGGAGAGGAGACGAGGGGAGAGGAGAAGAAAACAGGAGAGCATAGAGGAGAGGAGAGTAGAAGACAAGGGGAGAGGAGAGGAGGAGAGGAGACGAGGGGAGAGGAGAAGAGAGAAGAGGAGAAAACAGGAGAGCATAGAGGACAGGAGAGGAGAGGAGGAGAGGAGACAAGGGGAGAGGAGAGGAGAGAAGACAAGGGGACAGGAGAGGAGAGGAGGAGAGGAGACGAGGGGAGAGGAGAAAGAGAAGAGGAGAAAATAGGAGAGCATAGAGGAGAAGACAGGAAAGGAGAGGAGACAAGGGGAGAGGAGGACAGGAGACGAGGGGAGAGGAGAAGAGAGAAGAGGAGAAAACAGGAGAGCATAGAGGAGAGGAGAGGAGAGGAGAGGAGACAAGGGGACAGGAGAGGAGGAGAGGAGACGAGGGGAGAGGAGAAAGAGAAGAGGAGAAAATAGGAGAGCATAGAGGAGAAAACAGGAGAAGACAAGGGGAGAGGAGAGGATAAGACAAAGGGAGAGGAGAGAAGACAAGGGGAGAGGAGAGAAGACAAGGGGAGATGAGGAGGAGAGGAGAAAATAGGAGAGCATAGAGGAGAAAACAGGATAAGACAAAGGGAGAGGAGAGAAGACAAGGGGAGAGGAGAGAAGACAAGGGGAGATGAGGAGGAGAGGAGAAAATAGGAGAGCATAGAGGAGAAGACAGGAGAGGAGAGGAGAGGAGACAAGGGGAGAGGAGGAGAAAACGGGAGAGCATAGAGAGGAGAGGAGAGGAGATGAGGGGAGATGAGATGAGAGGAGAGGAGATGAGGAGACAAGACAAGAGGAGAGGAGAAGACAGGAGATAAGATGAGATGAGGGGAGAGGAGACGAGAGGAGAAGATAGGAGATGAGACAAGGGAAAGGAGAGAAGATGAGAGGAGAGGAGAAGACAGGAGAGGAGATGAGGGGAGAGGAGATGAGAGGAGAGGAGAAGAGAGTGAGAGGGGATGAGAGGAGATGAGGGGAGAGGAGAGGAGATGAGGGGAGAGGAGAGGAGATGAGGGGAGAGAAGAGAGGGGAGAGGAGAAAACAGGAGAGCATAGAGGAAAATAGAGTGAGATGAGAGGAGATGAGGGGAGAGGAGATGAGAGGAGATGAAGGGAGAGGAGAGGAGATGAGGGGAGAGGAGATGAGATGAGGGGAGAGGAGATGAGATGAGGGGAGAGGAGATTAGATGAGGGGAGAGGAGGGGAGAGGAGATGAGGGGAGAGGAGAGGAGATTAGGGGAGAGGAGATGAGGGGAGAGGAGATGAGAGGAGATGAGGGGAGAAGAGATGAGAGGAGATGAGGAGAGGAGATGAGGGGAGAGGAGAGGAGATGAGGGGAGAGGAGATGAGAGGAGATGAGAGGAGATGAGGGGAGAAGAGATGAGAGGAGATGAGAGGAGAGGAGATGAGGGGAGAGGAGATGAGGGGAGAGGAGATGAGGGGAGAGGAGAGGAGATGAGGGGAGAAGAGATGAGAGGAGATGAGAGGAGATGAGGGGAGAAGAGATGAGAGGAGATGAGAGGAGAGGAGATGAGGGGAGAGGAGAGGAGATGAGGGGAGAGGAGATGAGAGGAGATGAGGGGAGAGGAGATGAGAGAAGATGAGGGGAGAGGAGAAGGTGTTGAAAGTAAAATATTTAATTCAGCAGAAATGATTTTGATGCAGCTGTAAAAGAAAAATTTTATGATTAATTAAAACAAAATTATATAAAATAATAATGATGATGTCATTCCTGTATTATTTCTGAGGCTAAAATCTTAGTTTATCTAAATTATTTAAAAAAAAACACCAGACTCACTGAAACTAACTCACTAGAAAAAGTTTTTAATGAAAGCAAATAAAAAAACACAAACTAAATGTAAAAATAGACGCGCCTTAGCACACAGGAAATAAAGAAAGGTTTAATGTTTTAGAAAAAATCATTCTTAGTCCGTATCACCACGTTTCTAAGCAGCATCCTCTCTTTGGCTTCAGGAACAGATTCTCACCGTTGCTGTTGAGGAGTTCTCAAATTTGGCCAGAAGCTGCGTGGCCATGGAGCGGACCTTGTTCTCGCGCAGCTCCCCATCTTCACCAGCAGGAGGCGCACTATGGCAGGACAACTGAGGAGGTGAAGGAGGGATTTGGACTCTAATTCAAACTTCAAAAAGAGCTCCTTTACTCAGATTTTAGTTCAGTTTACAAACCGACCTCTGAGAGGTAATTGTTGCCTTTCCGTCGCCGCTTGTTGACCGAATCATCTTCTAGTTTCTTCTCATCCTGTGATGGAGGAGAGAGAAAATAAAGATCTTCTTCCTCTCTTAGATAAAAGTCAAGTTTATTCATCCTTTCAGGAAATTAATGAAGTCTTAAAAGAATAAAATCAACTGAAAATGATGAAATCTGAATTTTGCACATGCAGATTTAAAACATGTATTTATTTTACCCTGGGTGTCCTCTTCCTGGGCTGAGGCAGGTTCAGAAGTCTGTGGTTGGTTTTAGACGGATTCTCTTCACCGTTTTCATCTGATTCTTTACAAACTGGAAGATAAACACAATAGAAGTACAGATTTAAAACAACTACAAAAGAAGTAAACGCATATGACTGGATCATTCATGAACCTAAATAACAATGGTTATTAGGCAGTTTTGCTTGCTTTTAGCACCCCCTAGTGACCGTTGTTAATTATCTGTGGTTAAACCAAAAGCGAAACCTACCTCCTCGCTAGGGCTGCACGATATTAGGAAAACCTGCGATATTCGATAACAGTGCTTAATATTGCGATATCGATATTATTCACGATAAATGAACAAATACTAAAGTATGCAGTGTTAATGTCGTCTGGCGTGTGACATCTGCTCTGGGTTCAAAGCAAACAAAAACTAATGCATGAATTCCATTACAACATAACATTTTTATAGCAAAAATATGCAGCTGTACCTGCTACTGTATTAGCAGCTGCACCTGCTGCTGTATTAGCAGCTGTACCTGCTACTGTATTAGCAGCTGCACCTGCTGCTGTATTAGCAGCTGCACCTGCTACTGTATTAGCAGCTGCACCTGCTACTGTATTAGCAGCTGCTCCTGCTACTGTATTAGCAGCTGCTCCTGCTACTGTATTAGCAGCTGCACCTGCTACTGTATTAGCAGATGCACCTGCTATTGTATTAGCAGCTGCACCTGCTATTGTATTAGTAGCTGCACCTGCTATTGTATTAGTAGCTGCACCTGCTACTGTATTAGCAGCTGCTCCTGCTACTGTATTAGCAGCTGCTCCTGCTACTGTATTAGCAGCTGCTCCTGCTACTGTATTAGCAGCTGCACCTGCTACTGTATTAGCAGCTGCACCGGCTATTGTATTAGCAGCTGCACCTGCTACTGTATTAGCAGCTGCTCCTGCTATTGTATTAGCAGCTGCACCTGCTACTGTATTAGCAGCTGCACCTGCTACTGTATTAGCAGCTGCACCTGCTATTGTATTAGCAGCTGCACCTGCTACTGTATTAGCAGCTGAACCTGCTACTGTATTAGCAGCTGCACCTGCTATTGTATTAGCAGCTGCACCTGCTACTGTATTAGCAGCTGCTCCTGCTACTGTATTAGCAGCTGCACCTGCTACTGTATTAGCAGCTGCACCTGCTACTGTATTAGCGGCTGCACCTGCTACTGTATTAGCAGCTGCTCCTGCTACTGTATTAGCAGCTGCACCTGCTACTGTATTAGCGGCTGCACCTGCTACTGTATTAGCAGCTGCACCTGCTACTGTATTAGCAGCTGCACCTGCTACTGTATTAGCGGCTGCACCTGCTACTGTATTAGCAGCTGCACCTGCTACTGTATTAGCAGCTGCACCTGCTACTGTATTAGCAGCTGCACCTGCTACTGTATTAGCGGCTGCACCTGCTACTGTATTAGCAGCAAAACAACAAACTGCATGCATGCAGTTTCTCAGTGACTTTAAAACATCACCACCACCATAAAACTTTTTCTGACGCTCCAAATACAGAAAAACATCCCTTACCAGGGTTTTTGAATAAATAAAAAAATCTGAAAATAAGTTTAAATGTTGAATAATAGTTAACATCACTTACATGCAACAGCAAATTCTCTCATTGCTACTGAACATTTTCTCCACATATGTGGTTATGATATAAGGCTGTTGCTGCAACTGGGAAGTGATCTGTGCTGGGCCAAACTAGGAGAATATTAAGATTTTCTGAGGGAAAAACAATTCTCTACCTTTCAGAAGAGGAACTGGAAAAAACTACATGGAAAATATGTGAAAACGTTTGTTTTTAACCCCAAATTGAACAAGTTTACCTAGATCTTAAAAAGCAGCTCAGATGATGAAACTGCAACTATGATTCTGATAACAAGCTAACAAATTGAACTAGCATAACCGACTAGCAGAGCTTCTGACTGACAGTTTATGTGCAGCAGCAAATCAACTATCCTGATTAACAAGGTTATAAAAGCTCATAAATGAAAAATCACTTTGAGGTGTGGGGGAACTTTTCCAGGCCCTCTTTAGCAGCTCAGGGTGGGACTGGGAGGAGAGTGCTGTAGCGTTTTAGCTGGAAGCTAACCGGAGCCTGGGGCTAACACTAGCGACATGAAGGTGGGTTGGTTCACCGGCACGTGTCGGAGTCAGCCCGGTAAAAATGATTAACGACACCAAGCGGACTCACGTTCACGTTTGAAAGCAGCGCTGATTCCAGAAACATCAGCACGAAGCGCGTTTGTTGCTCTGAGCCAGCATGACGAACAAGGGAACGGCGACGCTAACTCAGTTTGGGTGTTGCGTTCCACCCATCCTAAGGGTCTACGTATTACGTGAACGGACCCATCTGATTGGCCGCATATCAGAAGGGCTACATTTGATTGGTCAAATAATACTTCTGCGTAAAAAACAGCTGGTTTACAAAAAGTTGATGTATGACATAGATGGAAATGTTTGAATATTTATTGCCGTTTTTGGCGTGCTATGCGATGGGCCTATCACACATCCTGTTATCCCGATGACGATAATTTTTCGATATATCGTGCAGCCCTACTCCTCGCTGTGCGTTCACCTTTTTAACACCTTAATCTAACAGCTGAAATGTCTCCTCAGCTTTCATTAGTGTCTGCAGGAGTGATTCATCACTAAATCAAACAAATCCTCTGACATAAGACATGCAGGAAGCAGACTCCAGCTCAAATATGTCAGCTCCCTCCTCCACAGCAGGGAGCAGCAGCAGCCCGCCGATTCTGAAGCGCGATATTCGGGACGGTGGGGTCTGAGTGTCATCTCATTAACCCTTCCATAACAATCACTCTAAGGCCACTGAAGCGGTACCAAACAGATTCATCCATCCATCCATCTTCTGAACATGCTTGACCACGCAGGGTCGGGGGTGGTGGTGGTGGTGGTGGTGGTGGGGGGGGGGGGGGGGGGGGGGGGGGGGGGCTGGAAGCAAACCCAGGACCTTCTTGCTACAAGGCAACAGCAGATTCATCCAAACTTAAATAAACTGAGAATAAAGTTCTAAAGTTCAGTGAATGTTTTCCATCGCCATCAGGAGCGAGGATTACCGTGGCAACTGTGGGCTCTGCAGCATGTGGAGGTGGTCTGACCTCAGGAGTGCCAGTGATGCGACAGGATGAAGTTCCTCACGCATAGCTCACATAGCAGGCTAACCTGACCACAGTAGTGTAACGCTCAGCTCCAGATAAAGATAAAAACACTGATCTTTGGCATCTGGAGTGTCTTCATTCACACTCGCACACACACTTGAAACATTTTTAAGACGTTTCTGTTTGCTCTGTGTGACTGGATTCCTTTCTCATGAGCTGGAGTCAGATTTTTGAAGCTACAGTTTGTAGTTCTTGCATGGTTGATTAGATTTAGCTTTAAAGGTGTTGAAAACTCAATTATCAATACATTGGCAGTGGTTTCTAGTAGGAATGAAGGCCTTGTAAGGCGTACTCGAGGGAAAAAAAGCCAAGAAGCGCCGGTTTAAGCACACAGCTGGAGGAGAAAGGAGCTTCAGACAACATGATTTGGACCCTTAGTTCCTGATATTTGAATATCTCTCCTCTGATTGGCTAACGGCAATGCGACTCTACCACTGACTCCAGCGTTGATGTTTTATATCCACAAATAACACAAGCCTGGAGGAGTTCTGCTGTGTGGTGGAGTTGCTAATGCACCCGCTGCTGTATTAGCAGCTGCACCTGCTACTGTATTAGCAGCTGCACCTGCTACTGTATTAGCAGCTGCACCCGCTACTGTATTAGCAGCTGCACCCGCTACTGTATTAGCAGCTGCACCCGCTACTGTATTAGCAGCTGCACCTGCTACTGTATTAGCAGCTGCACCTGCTACTGTATTAGCAGCTGCACCTGCTACTGTATTAGCAGCTGCACCTGCTACTGTATTAGCAGCTGCACCTGCTACTGTATTAGCAGCTGCACCTGCTACTGTATTAGCAGCTGCACCCGCTACTGTATTAGCAGCTGCACCCGCTACTGTATTAGCAGCTGCACCCGCTACTGTATTAGCAGCTGCACCTGCTACTGTATTAGCAGCTGCACCTGCTACTGTATTAGCAGCTGCACCTGCTACTGTATTAGCAGCAAAACAACAAACTGCATGCATGCAGTTTCTCAGTGACTTTAAAACATCACCACCACCATAAAACTTTTTCTGACGCTCCAAATACAGAAAAACATCCCTTACCAGGGTTTTTGAATAAATAAAAAAATCTGAAAATAAGTTTAAATGTTGAATAATAGTTAACATCACTTACATGCAACAGCAAATTCTCTCATTGCTACTGAACATTTTCTCCACTTATGTGGTTATGATATAAGGCTGTTGCTGCAACTGGGAAGTGATCTGTGCTGGGCCAAACTAGGAGAATATTAAGATTTTCTGAGGGAAAAACAATTCTCTACCTTTCAGAAGAGGAACTGGCAAAAAACTACATGGAAAATATGTGAAAACGTTTGTTTTTAACCCCAAATTGAACAAGTTTACCTAGATCTTAAAAAGCAGCTCAGATGATGAAACTGCAACTATGATTCTGATAACAAGCTAACAAATTGAACTAGCATAACCGGCTAGCAGAGCTTCTGACTGACAGTTTATGTGCAGCAGCAAATCAACTATCCTGATTAACAAGGTTATAAAAGCTCATAAATGAAAAATCACTTTGAGGTGTGGGGGAACTTTTCCAGGCCCTCTTTAGCAGCTCAGGGTGGGACTGGGAGGAGAGTGCTGTAGCCTTTTAGCTGGAAGCTAACCGGAGCCTGGGGCTAACACTAGCGACATGAAGGTGGGTTGGTTCACCGGCACGTGTCGGAGTCAGCCCGGTAAAAATGATTAACGACACCAAGCGGACTCACGTTCACGTTTGAAAGCAGCGCTGATTCCAGAAACATCAGCACGAAGCGCGTTTGTTGCTCTGAGCCAGCATGACGAACAAGGGAACGGCGACGCTAACTCAGTTTGGGTGTTGCGTTCCACCCATCCTAAGGGTCTACGTATTACGTGAACGGACCCATCTGATTGGCCGCATATCAGAAGGGCTACATTTGATTGGTCAAATAATACTTCCGCGTAAAAAACAGCTGGTTTACAAAAAGTTGATGTATGACATAGATGGAAATGTTTGAATATTTATTGCCGTTTTTGGCGTGCTATGCGATGGGCCTATCACACATCCTGTTATCCCGATGACGATAATTTTTCGATATATCGTGCAGCCCTACTCCTCGCTGTGCGTTCACCTTTTTAACACCTTAATCTAACAGCTGAAATGTCTCCTCAGCTTTCATTAGTGTCTGCAGGAGTGATTCATCACTAAATCAAACAAATCCTCTGACATAAGACATGCAGGAAGCAGACTCCAGCTCAAATATGTCAGCTCCCTCCTCCACAGCAGGGAGCAGCAGCAGCCCGCCGATTCTGAAGCGCGATATTCGGGACGGTGGGGTCTGAGTGTCATCTCATTAACCCTTCCATAACAATCACTCTAAGGCCACTGAAGCGGTACCAAACAGATTCATCCATCCATCCATCCATCTTCTGAACATGCTTGTCCACGCAGGGTCGGGGGTGGTGGTGGTGGTGGTGGTGGTGGGGGGGGGGGGCTGGAAGCGAACCCAGGACCTTCTTGCTACAAGGCAACAGCAGATTCATCCAAACTTAAATAAACTGAGAATAAAGTTCTAAAGTTCAGTGAATGTCTTCCATCGCCATCAGGAGCGAGGATTACCGTGGCAACTGTGGGCTCTGCAGCATGTGGAGGTGGTCTGACCTCAGGAGTGCCAGTGATGCGACAGGATGAAGTTCCTCACGCATAGCTCACATAGCAGGCTAACCTGACCACAGTAGTGTAACGCTCAGCTCCAGATAAAGATAAAAACACTGATCTTTGGCATCTGGAGTGTCTTCATTCACACTCGCACACACACTTGAAACATTTTTAAGACGTTTCTGTTTGCTCTGTGTGACTGGATTCCTTTCTCATGAGCTGGAGTCAGATTTTTGAAGCTACAGTTTGTAGTTCTTGCATGGTTGATTAGATTTAGCTTTAAAGGTGTTGAAAACTCAATTATCAATACATTGGCAGTGGTTTCTAGTAGGAATGAAGGCCTTGTAAGGCGTACTCGAGGGAAAAAAAGCCAAGAAGCGCCGGTTTAAGCACACAGCTGGAGGAGAAAGGAGCTTCAGACAACATGATTTGGACCCTTAGTTCCTGATATTTGAATATCTCTCCTCTGATTGGCTAACGGCAATGCGACTCTACCACTGACTCCAGCGTTGATGTTTTATCTCCACAAATAACACAAGCCTGGAGGAGTTCTGCTGTGTGGTGGAGTTGCTAATGCTGACGGTTAGCTTCTACTAGCTGAGACGTTCTCTGCTGTTTCCTGGACGCTTAACCAGCAACAGCCTTCCCCGTCATGAGTCAGGATGGGTGAGTCCATGAGTGTTAAGTGACAGTGTGACGTAGATCTGTCAGGCTTTTCTCATCCTAGAGTTTCACCGTCTGTTTTCTATCAGAAGCTAAAGCAGGAGAACTCAGAGTAACTCAGAGTGACCCATTATAATCAGAAATAATCGTTAAAAACTGTCTTGCAGTCTACACCTTTAAAAGTCCGTTAATACTTTAAAAACTGTTCCCTCAGAAGATGATGAACCATTTTGAATTTAAAACAAGTCTTTCGGACAGATCTGCATGAGTGTAAAGACTGACTGTTGTTGAGCGATGACTTCCTGAAGGCCTCGAAGAACTTGGAGAGGTAGAGGACCATCAGCAGCTTGTCCGGTTCAGCCCTCGCAGCCATCTCCTTTCCTGTCGTCACAGGCTGGATGCCGAACTCTCGCTCGGCCACATCGAAAGCCAGCTGGTTGTTCCTCGCCACGTCCTCCTCGTTCAGAGAGTCAAAATCACTGAAATTTTGAAAGAGACAAACGAAAGTTCTGATGTCTCGTGTGGAGCCGAGTATGAGTGATGACTGAATATGTTTAATCAAATTCTTGTTAAATAATGACCAAAATGATTGTGCCTGTAGACCTTTTATCCACAATCCAGGTTGTTAAAAAACAGTAATACATGATCTATTTTGACTGTTTGAATGTTTGAACAGCAGGAAAACACCCACAAACGCATCGTCTCTACGGGAAAACTGAACGCACGACTAAAAGAAAATATCAGGGCTCTGAATGCCGTCCAGCCTGAGGATTAGGAGAGATTTCTCACCACAATATTGGGGAAGGAGTGTTGCAAAATTCTCTCTTAGCCGAAAGGTTTGAAATCACTCCAGAAACTAATGAATGATACGAGATCATATGAAGAAATCTGCCTCTTCATCGGGTTTCTAAATGTGTTCTCACATCAGCTCGGGCCTCTGGCGGTGGACGAGAGCACACAGGGCCAATCCGCTCCTCCAGGAGGACGTGAGGTTAGTGACATCCACCCCTCGGTACCCCTGAGTTTGTTTCTGACACCAGGTCAGCAGGCGGCTGGGTCGGACCTCGGACTCTGCAAGAGAAGAAGTTACTGTGGAGAGTTTGAAGGAACGTTTTCATACCAGAAGGTTCGTTTCTGAAATAGCGCAGACACCGTGACATGCGGGTTATTTGGACTCGAGCCATGAGCGTCTAAAAAGTTGCTCCACTTTCCAAAGTTAAAGCAGCAGAGCAGAAATTCTGCTGTTCTCTTAAAACTGACCTACAGAGAAAATTCACTGCAGCTGTGAACTTTGATGTTCTTGAAAATTAAAAAGTCAAGAAGGTCAAACTCCTAGAACCTCTCCTCAAGAAGATGCACCAATGTGGAAAACTGCAGTAATGTAAAAACATTAATCAGTTCATTAGAACTCTGTCATTCAGCAGAAATAATAATATTGTATTTAAAGTTCAGAGAATCTGCGCCTCTAAATCCAAGACCATGGTCTTGAGTCGGAAAAGGGCAGAATGCCTTCTCCAGGTCAGGGACGAGGTCCTGCCTCAAGTGGAGGAGTTTAGATATCTCAGGGTCTTGTTTGCTGCTCCTCTGCATTGAAAGGAGCCAGTTGAGGTGGTTCGGGCATCTGGTCAGGACGCCTCCCTCGAGAGGTGTTTTGGGCATGTCCTGCTGGCAGAAGGCCCCCGGGTCAACCCAGGACTACCTGGAGGAAATACATCTCTAGGTTGGCCAGGAGCTGGCGGACTTGGCTGGGGAGAGGATTGTCTGGGAGGCCCTACTTGGGATGCTGCCCCCACAACCCGGACCCCGGATAAGCGGAGGAAGGTGAGGTGAGGGGTCTTGTTCACGAGTGAGGGAAAGATGAAGCAGGGAGCTCACCCCGGACCGTGACAATTCTAAAGTCAGAGCTAATTAGTATGTGTGTTAATCAGAAACACAACATTTACTTTCAGTTAACAAACAATTATGAACGGCTTATTATGATAAAACTCTTCATTTATGGCCTGTTAATGTTAGAATTACGGCATTGGTAATAAGCAGTTAATAAATGCTTAATAATGACTAGTTCAGACTTAGTAGTCCACTAATATGCATATTAATTGGCAGCTAATTAATAGGTTAATTTGTGTTCCCTAAACTAAAGTGTTGCCAAAACTTTTTACGACCGACATACTTTTTAATACAGCTTAGCCCATTTTCAGCATATATTTGTAAAGAAAAGAGATAATAAACACAATGTACTTAATACATAATTTATACAATATAATGTGTCGGCTCTCCATCAGATAATTTAAAATATTCAACCTTTTTGGGAAAAGTTTGAAAAAAAAAATCTAAGCAACTAACAGGAATTCTTTGCAAATGAAACTCAAGCCGTGACGTAACCTCGTGGTGAAGTGTTTAACTGCTTTGTTCCTGAAGGTAAAACGTGTCCGAGCAGGCCTTTGTGACGTTGGTGTGGTTTTAGGATTTCTGTGCACACCAGGCTTCCTGTATCGCATACGAGTTATTTTATCCAGCTTTATTGTTTGTAACGAGGAGTGTCGTACCTGACTGGGAGGAAACGTTCACAATGACATCATCGCTTTTATCGCCTGCAGGTGAGATTATGTTTAAGCCTTTTTTAGAGGAGTTGTGGGATCAGAGTGGTGACTCACGATGATCAGATTTCAAATCCCCATTTCGTTTGAGAAGCTAGTTGCTCTTACTGATCATTTAAAGTACAAACAACCTGTTAAATCAACATTTTTATGGATGAAAAATGAAGCAGACGAGCTAAAACTCGGCTCTAAGTGAGTAAACGCAGGACCTCCAGGCTCCTTAAACAGCTGATCGGGGTCACCATGAGTCAGCATTCATGGTAGGGTCATCACGGTGTGAAAATCTAACCTCACGGTTATTGTGACCAAAATTACCACGGTTTTCGGAATTATCGCGGTATTTTTTTTGACGTGTTACATTTTCAGACAACTAAATAAACCCTGTATATCAGGAAAATATTGGTCCTCAGTTTGTGTCTAACTTTTGCCTAAAACGTGTTATTTTGTAATTATGTTGTTTATTTCTTTACATATTTCCTCTTTAGTCTTTAAAATACCAATTGCCCATAACTTCTGATTTTATGTCTGTTTGATGTCATCATTTTAAAAATATTAGATCAGATGATACTCAGTACTCAGGTAGCCTTCTAATCAGATACTTTTTTACCCTTACTTGAGTAATAAACCCTATATCAGGAAAATATCGTCCTCGGTTTGTGTCCTTCCAGTGAGCTTTGCAGATGTGGGAAAATGTCATCAGGCAGTAATCATTGTTAAATTCATAATTATTCTCGGAGAGAGACCAACTCTTATCTGCCCCTGGGAGCACCGTAATGCATAGCGTCACTTCAACATGGGGGTGTCCGCGACACGGTTTATATGCAGGTAGCGGCGCTGCGGCTGCTTTATATAGCGACTCGTTGCTTTCTCCCTCAACCCAAATCCTCGGATCACGCATTTTAGCTAAAGCGCTAACGTTAGCTTGCCTTGCGTTGACTGTAGAGTTGTGGGTGATGGTCACGCAGATGTGTCATGAGATTTGAAGCGTTGCTGCCTTTCACAGACACTTTTTCTGCACGTGCTGCAAACAGGGTTGCCGTCTTCTATCAACTGTCCCTCGGCATTCTTCAGATATCCAAAAGTATGTGCCCGCACTTCCCACTTTGTCTTCTTTGAGGGATAATACATGTCCTGAGTGCTGCCGTCTCCTCCTTTGGCCATTATTTCAGCTTTAGCTTCAAGAAAGTTTTGGTTGTAAACAACAAAGTGCGCATGTGCCGCCGGCAACTTCAGCAGATGATACGGTGGCTGGTAAGGGTCACCGCGCCTACACCGCAGCCACGGTAAACCACCGAGATAATAAATGTTTTTAAAAGCAAGACGGTTATTAATATTGTCCACTTTTTTACCGGGGTTTACCGCGACACCGGTTACCGTGACAACCCTAATTCACGGTGACCTGCAACAAAGGCATTTTATTTCATTTACAGAGAAACAAGTTCATGGATAAAAAAAGGCACTTAAGCCTAAAGGATGAACCAACAATGTGGCTGCACATACCGGAAAATGTAGCAAAGAACATTTTGGGATGGAGGGTTAAGCTTTAAGCACTGGAACTTGAGTTAGGAGCGGAAATGTGTCATAAAGAAGGTTAAATAAAGCAAATATGTAAAAAGGCCTCTATAATCGCTGGACGCGTTCATAAACTACTGCAGGGGAGGAGTTTTTCTTGTCATTTGATGGCTGGAGTGGCGTTTGGGGGAAACATTCACCTTTTCTAACCAAGTTAACGGATCTTCGTGTCGGTCCTGCTTTTTCAACCAGACCCGAGTTCTGCTGGCCGCCAATGAACAGGTGACGCACCTGAGGGGAGGAGGAAAAGATGGAAATCAGAGATAAAAGCTGGATTTCAACACAAAAACAGAACAAACCCTGGGTGGGTCTGGAATCTGGTTCTCCCTTCACGAGAATTCGGCCTCCTTCTGTCAGAACCGCATTTCCTCTTTTCTTTTTAAACCTTTACATAAATATTAGCAACCGTTTTAAAATTTAAATGCATCTCACTTGTGATTTATTGTGAAGCAGCGACTTTGAGAAAACTAATTTCCCCATAGGGACATTAAAGTCTCGTACGCGATGGCCTACGTTTGTCCGGCCCGCATTCATCCTGGAAGGTTGTTACTGCACAGCTACAGCTATCTGGAAGTAGCCGATTGTCATCAAAGCAGGTCTGGGCTTGCTAGTCGATGAAAAAGGACATATTTGATCTTTAATCCAGTTTTACCATCATGAGCAGATAACTTTTATCGAGACTCACCTGATGAGGACGCACACAGCTGGAGTTGAGGTTGGGGTATCGGGTAGCTGGGTCGATGGAGTACTGCTCAAAGTTTTTACTGATGTTCTCCGGAGTGGTCTGAGGCAGCAGACGGTAAATACTCTCTCTGAGAAAAACACAAAAAGATGTTAAAACGTGAGAGCTTCGGTGGTAAAAGAATCCAGAGATTAATATAGATGCAAAGAATGAAATGACAGCAGGTGGCTGAAATCATCGCACTGAAGGGAGGATGGATGATCGTGAAAAAAAGCTGTTTAAGCAAGCTACATTTGAAAAAAACACAATTTAAAAGGTGCATCCCTCTTTTCTATGGCTCCTCCCCTAAGCCACGCCTCCCGAATACAGGAGAATAGCGGACAACGGATGTGATCCAGCAACCATAAACACAAGTTCTCTTACCTTTCTGAGCTGTTGTTGGCACCTCTTCTGCCATAAATCCTAAAGTAACGCACCAACGTAACTACTTAGTATGCTAGCTAGTGTAGCTAGTTCAGTTCTAGCTTCACTTCCTGTTTAACAGCTCCAAGCCAAGAACGTGGGATTTTTGCACACACTGGGGCGAGGGACAGTCAGAGGGTAGTTTGATGGAAGATTGGATGAGGTTTTTTAAGGATTATACGTTTCAGAGGCGATTAAAATGATCGCTTTTTACAAAATATACAAAGTATAGATCAAAATGTAGACCAATAAAGGTCAAAGACATTTATGTTCTAGTGTTTTACTATCTCTTTAAATCAGTTTTTATTAGTTATTTTACTAGCTATTATTTTTAATATTTATTTTCATTTTACTTATTTTAATCGTACCAGTGTTTCCTCTGTGGGGCCCTCTGCCTCGGGGGTGGTGGTCGACTGTGGCGGCCTGGGCACTCCTAGGGTGTGCTTATGCGGGGGTGGGGGTTTCCGCCCTCCCACCCTGGGTTGGTGCTTCGGCTGCTGCTGTCGATCAACTACTGCTGAGGCAGATGGCTCACCTGATGGCGTGTCATTCATTACCTAAGCCATCTGAACTCAGCCTAGTGTTTATATGCTGTTTTTCAGGTTTTGTGTGTGTGTGTGTGTGTGTGTGTGTGTGTTTGTGTGTGTGACTGTCAGTGAGTGTGCCTGGTAAATGGGTTGTGGGATGGGGGGGTGTTACTGTCACAACAGTTTTTATATTTGTGGGGAAGGGATGGGAGTTTGGGTTGTATGGGGTCATTTTAATCTGTTAAGTACTTTGAGCTGCATTTTCTTTTGTATGAAAAGTGCAATACAAATAAAGTTTGATTGAAAGGTGACAGATCTTCTGCTGCTGTGGCCCCCCAGACTCTGGAACTCTCTCCCCCCGAGCTGGAGATCAGTGGACTCGGTGGTCTCCTTTAAAAAGCAGCTGTTCAGGCTTTGGTGTGACCTTCATCACCACCCTCTCCTTTTACGCCTTTCCCGGAATCCACCGATTTCCCTCTTTCCTACTCATTTTCTCTCTCCTTACATTTTTAATCACAATTTTATTATTTTCTCATTTTAAACATATCTCTAATTATTTTAAAACTTTTTTATACTTTGTTTTTTTGTTTTTGTGAAGCGCCTCGTGCATTTTTATCTTGAGAGGCGCTATATAAAAGATTGTTTTCTTTCTTTCTCTCTCATTGGTCTTTTATTGGTAGCACAATATTGGAGATTTAAAAAAATTTGCCCAAAAATGCACCAAGAAAACATTTCTGTTACTGTTGAGCGTTCTCTTAGCCTTGTTTGAGCGAAACATGAAAGAGTAATGAATGCCTGAGGAGAGGCGCGTCTTCTCTCAGGTTACTGGAAGCAGGACACACTCACCTCTCTGCCAGAACCTCCAGAGAGTTCTTTCCCTGTGCCCAGCCCCTCACCATCCACGCAGCGTCGAACGCAGCCAGAAAGCCCCGAGCACACCCTGTTCCCATCGGCCAGAAGGGCTGAAAGCAGAGAGCGTGATGTCAGAGTGAACACGTGGTGAAGGCCGGCCCTGACGACCCACACGCACACACACACACACACACACACACGTAACATACCTCCAGAAGACTGTCTCCCACCAAAGCCACCAGCAGCTGGTGGCCATGTTTCTCCCTAATCAAGGCGGCATTCTCCGAGGCGTACATGCAGGTGAAGTCGAACATGGCCACGTCTGGCTGTCCGTAGTGGTTGATGGCGTAGTCCAGTGATGGCAGCTCGTAGTTTGTGCCAAAGTCAGCGGCCTCGCGGGCGTAGGAAAGCAGCGCCTCCTGGTTGACATTGTCAGCGGACAGAAGGCGTTCGGTTTCTATATAGTCCTACAAGAAGGGAGGGTTGAAGACGATTGACAATTTTACCTCGTGTTACTCACAATCATCCCTTTAGTTATGCTCCTATTGTAATTATTAATTCTTCCTCATTTCATGTTCAACTTTGATGCATTCAGTCATGCGTTAAATGTCAGCCTCTTTTTTGTCTAATCAGTCACAGGTTAGTTTCAGAGGTCGCCAACACCTCAGATGACCTCGCATAGCTTGAATTTTGGAGCAAGGCCCTTAAGCTCAAACGTTAACAACACTTGTAAACATTTTCAGTCATTTTGGAGACTCCCTCGCCCGTGTGAATGCTGTCAGGGCCCGGCAGAGGCAGCTCAGTAAAAAACAAAAACGGGCTTTCTCGTTTTTCGTTTATTATGAAGCCGTGAAATGACTTGAAGCGTTCTCCTGAGATGACTTCTGCTGTAAACTGGAACTAAATAAAGATGTTTAAATTTAACTTGAGCCATAAGTGTTTTATAATATAGCCTGGTGAGCCTCAGTGAGAGACCACCTTAATAGCGAAACAAACTGGGAGAGCTGTAACGAGTGAGCGATGAGGTTTCTGACGCTTTGGCTCTGAATGAGCCGGCTGAGGTCCAGCGGACGCAGAGAGGCATCACTCAGCAGAAATGCCCAATGTAAGACGAGACGTGGACCACTGGGGGACATGAGGCCCGGGGGTGTCAACACCTGTGTGTGACTGTGTGTGTGTGCGTGTGTGTGTGTGTGTGTGTGTGTGTGTGTGTGTGTGTGTGTGTTCTACAATAAAACTAGCAGGACCCACATCTTGAATTCCAACGAGATCTCATTTTACCGTGTACATTGTGATATGTGGGGGTGTTTATGTTTTTTTCTTTGTAAATTTACTTTTAATGTTTTTTTTTATGTATTACTATATTTTCTTATTTTATCTATTTAAGCAGTTTGTATTTATGAATGCAATTTTGGGTGTTTTACGTCTGTATTTCATTTGTTTGGTTTTTACTTAATTTATTATGTGTTTTATGTTTTTATGACTTAATCTTTGTTTTCTTATTGTAACTTTTTAATGTTTTATAACACATTTATTTTGTTTTTGTTCTATATTTTATCAGTCATCGAGGTATTTTTTTATGTTTATAACTTTTAAATAAATGTATTTATGTACACATTGTAAATGCCTTGTATTTGATATAGCGCCTTCTAGAGTCCTGGAACCCCCCAAGGCGCTGTACAACACAATCAGTCATTCACCCATTCACACACACATTCACACACTGGTGGGGATGAGCTACGATGTAGCCACAGCTGCCCTGGGGCGCACTGACAGAGGCGAGGCTGCCAAGCACTGGCGCCACCGGTCCCTCCGACCACCACCAGCAGGCAATGTGGGTCAAGTGTCTTGCCCAAGGACACAACGACAGCGACAGACTGAGCGGGGATCGAACCTGCAACCTTCCGATTACGGGGCGAGCACTTAACTCCTGTGCCACCGTCGCCCCACACATTGATTGAGTGTACCAAGTATAGAACAAGGTAGCATTCCTTCGGTAACACTTAACAATAAGGGTCTCTTTAATAATGTTACTTAATGCATTATTAAGCATTAATAGAGTATTAACAACTGCTTAACCATATTATGTAATGCATTACTAAGCAGACACCCCCATCTGGCCCTTTGTCTTAACCTTCAAGACATTCAGGTAGCAACATGGGGAACATCAATAAAGGGACCCTTTGCTTATTAATACTTAATGCACTAAGTAGCATTACTAAAGGTACCTTTGCTTTATTAATGCTTAATAATGCACTAAGTAGCATTACTAAAGGTACCTTTGCTTTATTAATGCTTAATAATGCACTAAGTAGCATTACTAAAGGGACCTTTGGTTTATTAATGCTTAATAATGCACTAAGTAGCATTACTAAAGGGACCCTTGGTTGATTAATTGGGACAGCAGTAGCTCAGGAGGTAGAGTGGGTTGTCCAGTAACTGCAAGGTTGCAGGTTTGATTCTGGCTGCGACCAGAGAATGTTGCTGTTGTGTCCTTGAGCAAGACACTTAACCCACCTTGCCTGTTGGTGGTGGTTGGAGGGATCATTTACCATATTAATGCTTAATAATGCACTAAGTTATGTTAATAAACAGACCCTTATTGTTAAGTGTTACCATTTATTCCCTGGCCTGATTGGCATGACAACTTTGGTTTTCCCATAATGCTCTCCAACTCTCGGCTTTAGGAACGTGCATTACTTTTTGCTTATTCTTGACTTTGTCTCTGATGTTTGTGTTGCTAATTTAGTCAAACAAAACAATTAGAAAACTAACTGTTGGCTCTCATGAGGAAATTAAAGCAACTTTTTCTAACGTTTTTCCTAATTTAACAGTAAATCTCAATGCTGAGTTAATGATGTGTGTTTACTGAGCGTGGTCTGCTGTCTGAAACACAGCCGGGTGAACTCATGCAACAACAAGCAGCACGTTGTTACTTCCAAACATTTTGTTTCTCACAAAGCTGGGAGAAAGAACAAGAAACTAAGATGTTTGTGGATCACATTAATCCATAATCCCTGTGAGAATTAAGCAAGAAGCAGAAAAACAAACGAACACACACAGAGGTGAGCAGCAGCATTCATGACACTGTAGTCAAGGTTTCTGACGCTTTAGAGGAACTGAAAATAAACATAAAACTCAAAGTTTAGTTTATTATTTTGATTTAATTCGTCACATCAGCTACTTTAACTGGGTTTGCAAAAAAATATGTAAAATAAAATTTTACTTAATTAAAGGGACTTTACGGACTTTTGAATTTTTATGCTCGTGATTGCCCCCTCAGGCCAAAAGCGTAACGGCAGCTTCAATAGTAGGCTCGTGCACGAGGCGCGCATGCTGTACGTGCACACTCCTTAACGAAAATAACAGCTGAGACAGTCCCGTTTGTGTGTGTGTGTGTGTGTGTGTGTGTGTGTGTGTGTGTGTGTGTGTGTGTGTGTGTGTGGGTGGCCCGGAGGACAGGAGAACGCGCAGCTAATTAATTAAATAATTTGGTTCTGTACCTTTCTCTTCAGCACAGCCGACAAAGGTTTATGATGGGTCAGTCCTCCTGCATGCTCAGATCATTCCCTTCCCTTGCTTGAAAAATTGTTCCACAATGAAAGTTGAACCCACATCTTTTTTATCTGTCAATTCAATGCCGTTCGGCGAGTCTCAAATAAAAATTTGGGCATCTTACTGTAAAAAAATGTACCATTAATGTAAAAAAGAAACTCTAAATAAACTATGTTCACATCCAGAATCGAACCCAGGTCTTCTGCATGAGAGTCAGACATCTTACAAGGTGAGCTACACTCTAGTAACATTCACAGTATCTGTAACATTTATATCCTTGATGACAGCTGAAACAACGTCAAACCAAAGAACGGTTCGGAGTGAAAATGGCTATTTTGTTGCTAATTAGCAGGAAATATCTAGAAGAAAGTTCTACAGAAAGTAGCTAAGGGTCCTCAGAAATGTAGCTAGCTTTGTCACTAGGCGTTAGGAACAGCGACAAAGTGGCACTGCCTCTCTCTCTGCTGCTAAAGCTACGGATAGCAAATGCTACGGGCGATGCCTGAGCGTGAACGCGCATGAAGCAGCCTGCTCGACCCGAGCATCTCTCTTTTTCTGTGATTTTACAGAAAAACAGGCAATCACAGTAAAAATGCCAGGGCTCATTCTACAGGACCAGGGCATTGCAGGAGAATGTATGAAGAAGACATTTATTATTTCTATACATGTTTTAGCTGTCAAACTTCCATAATGTCCCTTTAAAAACTGCATAAACTGTGAGAAACTAAAACATCTATATTTTTCTATAATGTTCAGAATATATTTCCTAAATGACAGAAGAGCATTTCTCATTTATCTAGTTTAGTTTTTTCTTCACAGAATTTGAAATAATTTTTTTTCTGAAAATCTCTCATTTTATAAGGGATGCAGGTACAAAACAACAAAAATAGTGTTTCAGGTGTGAAATCTTCCACTATCTGGTAGAAGCTATAAAAAATAACAAACACAAACTTACACTGATGATGACACCTTTGTCCAGCAGGCTCTGCTTTTTCGCCGTCATCACAAAGTAATGCGTGTTGTCTTTGTAGTAAACAATGTTCTCCAAATCGATTCCTGAAGTTGGAAGAAGAAGAAGAAAATATCATTTCTATAGCGAACGAGCGATTTTAGCGACAACAGGACTTTTAGCAGCGTAGACGACACTCGCCCCGGCTTTCTACCAGATGCGTAAATGAAGAGTGACTTCGGCAAAGCGTAAAACCAGCTTATGGCCAACATCATAGTGAATGGGTGGGTTTCCACCAGACGCGCAGTGTGGAACCGCTATGCTTAATTTACACTTCAGGTCTACTTTTAGGCTCTACGCTACCAAAACATGTCAAGCTCAGCAGTTCAGGTCGGGCCAGAACAAGGAAGCGGTGTAAAGCACTCAGCAATTTTCAAAATAAAAGACTCCTGCAGATTTCCAGTTGCCCAACTTTGGCCAAGATGAAAAACAAAAACAGAAACCTTCTGGAAACATGTGAACTGACGAAATCACACGTGATCTTACAATTCTCCTGAAG